CAGCTATTTTCCATTATAAAGCTGTTAGGAACGATGTTGTCAGCTCACACAGTGGCCCCGCTGGGTTTACTACACATGAGACGCCTCCAGAGATGGTTTGCTCGTCAGCGCATGGATCTGGTGAGGCAAAAGAGACGGACGATCACTGTTCCTCCCTCCGTGAGAACAGATCTCCAACACTGGAAACCCCTTGGTTTTGTCAGAGGGAGTACCCGTCAGCAAACCTACGTCACACGTGTCAGTCTTCACAGACGCGTCGGTGTCAGGTTGGGGGGTGACATGCCTATCTTGAGCTGTAGGGGCACTGTGGCCTTTCTCACAACAGCTCATATAACGTTCTGGAATGTCGCACGGTTATGAATGTGATTTAACACTTTGCTCCTGTGCTGCAGAATCAACACGTTTTGATTCACACAGACAACAAGGTTACTGCTGCTTACATAAACCGGCAGGGGGGTGTGCACTCAGTCCAAATGTTACACATTGCGAGAAAACTACTGTGTTGGGCACACCAAAATCTGCTCTCCATCAGAGCAGTGTACATCCCCGGTGTTCTGAACAAGGGGCAGATGTGATGTCCAGGGGCAGTCCGCGTCACAGGGAGTGGACCCTCCTCTTCGGTCTGATGGCCCAGACGTGGCAGAAAGTTGGCAAGCGGCCGTGAACCTGTTTGCGACACGAGAAACGCTCAGTGTCAACTATGAGTTTCACTGAGCCCGCGAGACGAACCACCGCTGGGGGTGGACGTGTTTGCTCACAGCCCGTGACCCAAAATGCTTCTTTACGCGTTCCCCCCAACTCCTCTGATATTATGGTTTCTGAACTGAGTTCAGGAGGAGTAATTGACAGCTCTCCTGGTGGCTCCCGAGCACGTGAATGCACCATGGTACCCGTTTCTACGACGCCTGTTATCGGGGCACCCGTGGAAACTGCCATGGAGGGAGGACGCTCTCCTCCAGGCGGACGCTCTCCTCCAGGCGGGAGGAGCGATCAGGAGTTACTCAGAAATAGGCCAGCACCTGTGGGCCTGGCCGCTGAGCAGATCCGCTTAGAGAGGATGGGTCTCCCACAAGATGTAGTGCGCACAATCCAGGATTCACGTGTGGCATCCACCACAGTGCTGTACACATCAAAGTGGACAGCTTTTCAGTGCTGGTGTACAGAGAAAGGTGTAGAGGCCACCTCAAGTCCACTAGGCGACGTGCTGTCCTTTCTGCAGCAGCTGATGGACAGAAATCTGGTGTTCAGCACGATTAAAACATATGCTGCAGCCATCTCTTCCTGTCACAAAGGTTTCGGGGACAGAACAACTTTTAATCATCCGCTGATGAAGCGTTTTTTTAAAAGGTGTACAGAGACGCAGGCCTGTTTTCACGCCCACTTGCTCCACAGTGGGATTTAACGCTGGTCCTGCGGGCCCTGATCAAGCTCCATTCGAGCCACTGAATCAGGTTCCAATTAAATTCTTGTCTCTTAAAACAGCCCTGCTGCTGGCTTTAACATCTGCTGAGAGGGTGAGTGATTTATCTGCCCTCTCTGTCGCTCCGTCATGCCTTAGAATTCAGGCTGATGGCAGCTCAGCTGATCGAAGACCAAATCCAGCTTTATGCCTAAAACATCACAAGCTCTTTTAAATCAAGAGTGATATTGTTGGAGGGTTTTTTTCCCCTCCCCCCCACAGATCAGAAGAAGAAACATCTTTCCATCTGCTCTGTCCTGTGCGGGCGTTGACGTGTTACATAGCGCGCACAGCTGCAATGCATCAAACTCAACATTTGTTTGTGCATTATATAGCTGCATCTGCAGGTCGCCCGTTATCCACCCAGCGCTTATCACACTGGCTGTGTGAGGCCATTTCTGAAGCCTACAGAGCATCAGATTTAGAGCTTCTTGATATCCTCAGAGCACACTCGACCAGAGGTATCGCATCTTCGACTGCTTTGCATAATGGTATGACAATGCAGGATATTTGCACTGTGGCCGCGCGGTCAACACCCTGCTCATTTATTCGCTTCTATCTACGTGATGTGACGGCTCGTTCCATGACACATTCTGTCCTTAGTGTTTTAACAGAATGAATATTGTTGTTTCATGGAACCCCGTTTAAACTCACATCTGACTGCATGCATTACAATGTGAGATGTTGTTATCAGCCACATGTTGTGACTGTTATTCTGGTTCTATTGTTACTAATCAGTTCATGACTATTGTTACCAATCAGTTCATTTGATTAACAATCAGCTCACTTGTTCTTATTAATCTGTTCATATTGTTCAGCCGTGAATATGTTGATTCATGGCCCCTTTTCAGCATCTTCCTTTCCCCGTTGAAAGTTTTCTGGAGCGTTCATGCATTCAGAACGCACAACTACACATCATGTGTCTGTGCATCGTACGCAGTAATTACGCACATGGACAGCTGAGTGACAAGACGTTTTTTGGGCAAGCTGTTGCTTCGTATGGTGTTTGAATGGACCCAGTGAGGCGAGGACCACATCTGCTTCGCCCTTAACCCACTAAGCGACAGCTCTTAAAAGGCGAAGCTTATACAAAATAGAACGTTGGTTACGTACTGTAACCCCAGATTCTATGAGTATAGGCGTAGCCCTTTAAGCGTCAGGCCTTACTGGCTCCTAAATGGCTGAAGAAAAGCTATTTGGGAGCCGATTACTCGCTCTTAACGTAACTTATACAGACCGGGTGGGGCCCACACAGCAGGTGGGCGTGGACTCAATTTTTCAGTGCAATGCTTCGCATATGGGGATAAACCCACTAAGCGACAGCTCTTAAAGGGCTACGCCTATACTCATAGAATCTGGGGTTACAGTACGTAACCAACATTTTCAAAGCTACTGATGAGCTGTAAGAGCTCACAGCAAATGTCTCTGTGTGTCAGGCACTTAATTCAGTCAATTCATTTCAGTTTATTTATATAGCACCAAGTCACAACAGAAGTCATCTCAGGCACTTGGATAAATTGAGAGCGAGCACTTGAACAGGTAAAGAACTTGATGGGAATGTAAAGGTCATGGATGTTTTTCACTTACTAATGTCAAGTCAAGTCAAATTTATTTATATAGAACGTTGAAAACAGGAACATTTACCAAAGTGCTTAAATGTCATATGTTATATAAACCGTGTGTGCATGTTAGAACTAATTTGTGATAATCATATAATACATTTCACCAAGAAATGGAAATGCAGCAAAGCAGGAAGTAGTTTTATATTGTTGTAAAACTAAAAGCAAAACAATGGAGCAACTGAAGAGAAGACATATTTTATTTATGAGTTTTGGCTAAGAGAATTATGGAAATTTAAAAAAATTTAATTTCAGAAGCCCAATTTGTTGCCAGCTGAAGTGGTCAAAACTTTTCTTTTTAATTTTTATGTTTTGAAATAGGGCAGCACGGTGGCGCAACTGGTAGAGCTGCTGCCTCTCAGCGAGCAGGTCCTTGGTTCAAACCCCGGTCCAGGGGCCTTTCTGGGTGGAGTTTGCATGTTCTCTCCGTGCATGCGTGGGTTTTCTCCGGGTACTCCGGTTTCCTCCCACAGACCAAAAACATGCATGTTAGGCTGATTGGTAACTCTAAATTGTCCCTATGTGTGAGTGAGCGAGTGAATGGTTGTTTGTCTCGTTTGTCTCTATGTGGCCCTGTGATGGACTTGCGACCCGTCCAGGGTGTACCCCGCCTGATCTAGATTTTAGGACATTTTGTATTTGTGAGACTGACAGCTGCATCCGTGTTGGCAGCCTTCCTATTCTAGGGATCTCTGTTTCATTGTGCAACAAATCTGGCTGCTCTCTTTTTAATATTTCTTAGATTTGATATATATTTTTTTGTATCTGCATGCTCAAAATCCCATCAGTTATGAAACAAAACCATGCCTTGTGGCAAAACAGCACATTATGCAACTGATTCTGAACAAGCTTTTTTTTTTTCTGTCAAAACACGCTGTGGTTTGATTGAATGTGAAATAAAACAGAGCTACACAGCCACAGATGCTTCATTGATTTTAACCAACACAACGCTCATCTAACCTGTCTATTTTTAGTCACAGAAAAAGGCAAATCCATCAGGAGTACAGACAATAGTGGAATTTGTTTTTGTGGTATAGGCGAGGATAAAATGTGTTCAACCCATTTTTCACTTCCTTCACGTCCTATTTTTACTCCTGTTTACTTGGCAACCATTTATTTTCAAAGCTCAAATTTGATTAAATAAAGAATTTCACCCAAAAAAACCCAAGTTAATGTTCTAACTTTGAAAACTGATTTCAACAGATTAAAAAAGTACATGTGAAACATATGAAGTTATTTAAATGTTTCTCCATCAGACACACACACACACACACAAAAATAGACACATACACAATAACGAACAGGCCTGTATATAATGTGCCTGTTAAGTCATTACCTGTGCTTCTTCATTAAAGATCCCCCTCACATCCTCCAATCAAAGGAAGCACAGTTTAATACTTCTATTAAAACTTCAAGCCTCACAGGGAGCAGCACGCTCAGAGGATATTTGGTGAAACAGACATAAGCAGAAGCAGAGTAAAATGAGCCGCAGGATGTGTTTAATTCATTATGCATCTAATGAAAAACCGCAGAAGTGGCAATCGGACATCTAAAATAGAATCTGAACTGATCGGGGGAGGCCTTAGAACAAGAGTAGTCGGTTTATCACTTTGTACATGAGCTCCTCCTGATTTGGGAAATCTGATGACTTTTTTGTCCTCACTGGCACATCAACATCTGTCGCTTATCTGTAGCTAAAATAAGCTTCACATCGATTGAAGTGACTGACATGAAATCAGACATTCAAGCTGATTAATCCTGATAATGTTGATTTCCTGCTGCAGAAAATTTAGTTTTTTTTTTTACTTTCTTCCATGTTTCATTACAAATTTGCTTGTGTTGACTGTATTTTGTCTAAAATGTAAAACTATATTCAGATAAAAGCGCCTTCCTTCTTTAAGATGTGTCAAATGTCTCCACAGGTTCCATTTTCCCTGCATACAGACCTTCAGACACAGTCTTCAAGATCACCTTCTGGCTTGGCTACTTCAACAGCTGCATCAACCCCATCATCTACCCGTGCTCCAACCAGGAGTTTAAAAAAGCTTTCCAGAGTTTGCTCGGAGCTCACTGTTTGAGGATGACTCCCCGAACGCACCACCATCATCTGAGTGCAAGTCAGAGTCAGACTCAGGGCCCAAACCAGGGCCTCACGCTGACCCTGGACAGCAGGGGGGCTTCCTGCAGACTCAGCCCCTCCTCATCTGTAGCTCTGTCCAGAACTCCTTCCTCCAGAGACAGCAGGGAATGGAAAGTGTTCTCTGAAGGCCCCATCAGCGGCCGATCTGGACGAGCCAAAACGAGTAGAGCTAAAGTGGCCACGCTCTGCAACAAAAGTCTCAGACGGACCTGCTGCTGCATCCTCAGAACTGGGAGTCCTCCACAAGAACCCCGTCCTGTCACACACCTTCCAACCATTAAAATCCACCAGTTGTCCCTGTCAGAAAAAGGCGATGCTGTATAATCACTAATCATCCAAGCATTATTTATTACTCTTCTTTGAGGGAGAAAATGGAAGTTTTGTGTCAGCTTGAAGATTGAAGTTTCAAATACCTCAACTTGTTAAAAAAATCAAATAAAATATTGTCATTGGTGGACGAAGAGTGGGTTTCTATCAGACTGGGAAAGCTCAACAAACAATGTGCGAGTTAAAAATGAAATAAAATTCCAAGTGACTGCACATTTTAAAGAAACAATTTAAATGTATGAAAGTATTTTATCAAAAAGCGTATGGCCTCAGGCCGCCTGTTGTTTTTTTCAAGTTTGCGTATGATGTTCATATTGTAGTTAACTGTGTACTGCTATTTTCCACAGTACACACTGAAAAGTGCTGGGTTAAAAACAACCTGAGATGTAACCCAGCATTAGGTCAAATTTAAACCTAGCCAGCCCCAAGTAGTTTTAACTCAGCAGGTTGTCAGTGTGACCCAGCATACTGGGTGACGTTCCTTGTATAAAAATTGGACTAAAATGGCTAACTTGTTCAATTAGAGCAATTAAATGTTTCTAAACCCATAGTCAGGCTCATTAGATCCTGAAAACTTGGGTTAGTGCTAGCTAGGTTGCACTCACATTCATTAGCATAAGCTAACTAACGCCAACTAATGATTTTTAGGTAACTAAATTTGTTTTCTAGTGCAAACTATAGTTATTAAGAAAGCCAACCTGGTTAAATGCCTTCTTACAAGTTGTTTGTACCATAATAACTTTACTTGTTACATCTTAAAGCAGAGATCCAGTCGGGTCCAATTTGGTCTAATTTTGGCTTAAAATCAGGTCTTAACTTGTAAACCGATCGATGCCGAAATGCAAATAGAGGGTGGGCCGGCAGGTGGGAGTTGTTGGTGGTGGTGGTGGTGGTGGTGGTGGGGGGGTCTGCAGGTCCTCCCCCAGAAGTTTTTGAATAAAGTAGATGCAATTTCCTGCAAAGCATGTTGGTGTATTTTAACAGGTTGTTAAACATCTACGTTTACCTACATTAACACTCAGCTTCTGTCTAGCTTCCCCACCTTGATGGTTCTGAGCCCGACTCCTCCGCCTGTTCATGTCCGCTGCCTGTGGGCTCCTGCCCGCGCACCACTGCCTGGTTAGCTCGGCACTCACCCCCACCACTCTTTTAGGGGAGGAGATGCTTTTTTTAAGAACAGAAGCAGAAATGCTTCACTTGAAGATGCAGATCATATGTGATATTAAGAAGCTCGTAAGTGGCTGTTGTGTTTAAAATTAGTGTTTATGCAATTATTTTCAGTTTACATATCCAGTATAAGTTTTATTCTTTCAAGGCAGTCATATTTGTTCATAACTTCATTATTCGTAAGCCTGAGAGTTACAGGATCCAAGCAAACCATTACCAGAATGCACCCTGTCAAAGTAAGAGCGTTCCCAGATCCTGTTCCTGCAGGATCTGGCTCAAATTAAACAGATTTTAGGTAACCAAACTTGTTTTCTTGTGCAAACCAAAGTTATTAAGAAAGCCAACCAGGTTAAACACCTTCTTGTTTTTACCGTCATAGCTTGTTCTTAAAGCAGAGATCCAGTCGGGTCCAATTTGGTCTACTTTTGGCTTAAAATGGCGGACTGTGAAGAATGACTGACCGAACCACAGAGTCAGACCCTTTCACCAAATATTTGGTCAAACCAACCCAACATTTGACCAAACAGTTTTAACTCAGCAATTGAGCTATCAAAATAACCCAGCAGTTTTCAGTGTGTACAAACTAAGGGACCTCACATACCTTCATGTTGCTTACAATAAATCTGCAAGACATGTTCCCAAGAGAGGATGACATTTTTGGCGGTTTGATTCTTTGTTTTGTTTCCTTTTGTGGGTGGATTTTCAAGATGAATGGCCTCCTTTAACTTGTGGTTCATCTCCCCACATTCCCACAGTGCTGTGAATCTTTGAGCGGTGACAGATGGGTGTCTTAATATACTTCTGTGGAATTTTGACTGACCTTGTGGTCGCTGGCCTCAATCCTGACCAACCTCAAGCCTCTTAAAAACAAAAACAACAGATTGAGAAGATAAGTTTCAGACGTTCTTCTCTCAGGCTGTTCTCATTTTCTATTCCAGTCATATTTTTAAATACAGCCATCCACACTGAAACACGGTGTTTAACTTCATTCGGCCTCCGGCTCTGCTGCTACCGCTGTTTAATGAAGTCTAAAGGTGAGAAAGTGAGTGTGAGCTCAAGTCTGCAAAGTGGCTCTGTTTATGCAGATGCATCAAAAGGGCAAGAGGACAACCACCACCAACTGTATCGATTTATGTCCTCCTGGCTACTCTCTCTGAGTGTAGGCGGAAAGAGATGTGGTCGGCATTGTTAAGCCAGCCTCCCCCCTCTTCATGTTAAGCTCAGATGTAAAAGTGGAGTCGACAGCTTTCCTAAGCAAGAAGGGGGTACCCAACATAGCAGCGAGAGTGCTCGTGAGCACTGTGAACCTGTAAATTACACCATCTCTGTGTAGATGCCATTTGGAAAGGAGCAACCTGCTCCGGCAATAAATTACAGACGGCACAGGTGACCTGACTCGTCCCGTCCTTTATCTCTGAAAGTGGTGTGATTAGGAGCAAAACCTCAGCCAACCAACAGCCTGCACGTATAATCTTCCAAATGAACAGCACAACCGTATCAGCATATGCAGAGTGGAGCAGAGCCTCCTCTCCGTTTCTTATGCATCTGTGATATCTAGTGTAGCTTTAATTACCGACCTGTTTTTACAGTGTACTTGCCCCATTAGGCTGAATTTATAGTTTGCAACCAGTAATTGTAACAGGGAAATGTGCAATATGCCTATTCAGGTAGAGTATGCTGTCTGTCGTGGCAGATCAATTATAGGAGGGAGTGCGGTCTTATAATAGCAAGTCTCTGTGCTTCACTGGATTGAAAATATAGCAACTGGTGCTGTCGGTGACTCATGTTTGCACACTTCTCCCAAGAGGCTCCAGCCTGGTAAAACCACCCTCGTGTTTTCACCTTTTGTGTATTCCTTTTCTTATTTAAAGCTTCCAATAGTGGGTTAAAGATTGTGCTATCCTGTTGTTATAGGATCCCCCCGTCTTCAGCTTAATTAGTGTTACGTTGAGTGTCAATTGGACATATGTCAAACAGCCAAGAGGCTTCAAGTGAACGGTGCTCTGAACTTTGCAGACATGTGTGCACTCAGTGTAAAGTGGCTGAAGCCCAGTGCTGTTTCTGTCACTGGCAGCTCCTGTGTGGGTGAATGTGAGCGAGAAGCTGGAGCATTAAAATGCAGCTGGCCTGCAGAGTATCAGCACAACTCTGTGCCTCCACCTAGTGTCTCACGGCGCCCATGTTCAGCGATGGACGGAAGATTCTTTTGACAGTGCAGATGCACAGGTACACATGCTGCTAATAATTAAGTCCTTCTAATGATGCTGGAGGTGGTTTACCTGGTATTTCTAATAAGCTGGTTGTTTTTGTGGCCAAGACAATATTTTAATATTTGATGAGAAATACCATGTTTTGAATAAGTACCCAATTTCTTTGAAAAATAAATAAATAATAATAATAATATATATATATATATATTATTTTTATACATTATATTACAAAATATTAAAACTATGTTCATAGTTTTGTGTTATTAAATAAAAAGGTGCAGATTGCATCTGTGCCATGTTTTATTTTTTATTAGGAAATCTTTCACTTGTGACATTTCATTTTAGTCATAAGACACAAACTATAACTCAGAGTGTGTCTGTGGAGTTTCTATATCACCTTTATGTTTGTTTCTGCCCAACTCTGACATATCAAAAACTCAGATTAAAATCAGCTTTCAGATATTTGAAACGAGAGTTTGTTAAAAAGGATATGAACAATTAATATCTTACCTGTTGTAGATTTCAGTCATTCAACCTTTATTTATACAGATACATCACATTGAGCCTCGAGGACTCATTTACAAGTGAGACCAAACAAAAAGTAATGAAAGTGACAACATGTATAGGATTTGGAGGCAAAAATAATTCCTAACAGATGCTCATTCCTTGGCCAAGGAAAGATAGCCTGAAATTGAAAAAAACACCCTGCACATAGTCATGCAGACCTTCCGCAGGGGAGGGGAGACGACAAGATAGCTCTTTGAAATGCAATTTTGAAGAAATAAAGGCTCCATTATACTCGGGCGGACCTCAGTCCGTGTAGGTCTGTGCATATCGGAATAGACTTGAAGCAGACGCCCACAGGGCATGTCCATGCAACAATCAATTTTTATGACCATGTACGCATACTCGGTGTCGCACAATAAACTGCCTGGTGACGGACTGCTTTGTATGCGACACCAATGTATTAAATTCCCCTTCTTCATCTGTGGTGTGGTTTAATGTTAATCAGCTGCTGTTGGTTGTAGAAAACTGCCTTGTTGCCATGGTTACGCATCATAACAAATGTCCAAAACTAAAAAAGTTTCAGTAAAAATCCTTCCAGCTGCACAGCATCTGATACCAGAGGAAACAATCATCCAAAAAAATGTGCTTTACATCCAGATAAACAGGAATTAAAGTTTCCAAAAGCAAAATCTCAGAATGAAAGTAACAGAGCTGCTCCAACATGCAGCCACCTTGAGCAGTGCAATAACGCCTTTTGTTTTGTTTTTTCTAAGAGGCAAGCGATCTCTTCCTCCTCATCTGTTGACGCCATGACTGAAATTGTGAGAAATGAAGGTATTTGTCACAAGCAAATTAAAATCAGGTCCAGCGTGGCTGCGGGAGGGTCTGATGTGTGGGCTGCAGCGCCAGTGCTCCCTATTTTTTTTAGAACTTTATATTAACAACATATAAACACAGAACACTGCTGCGGCTGCCAGCTTTTTTTTTTTTTCCCCCGACCTGTCAATCAATCCAGTAGGCATGTCAGCAAATGACCAATTGGTGACCTCAATTTGTCCCGAAGGTAAACGCCCCTTGCCTGCAGAGCTGACTGCAGCCGGTCAGGGTGGACGCTCGAGTTTGAAGTCTCAACCGTCTGCGGTCAGCGCATAGTTTCCACGTGGACTGAGGACCGCCCGAGTCGGTGGGAGCCTTAAGAGTTGATTTTGACAGGAATGCCAAGTTAATGGCTAGTTTGACACTGGATTGTCTGCTACTACCAGGAATGTTCTAAAACCTTTTCATGAACGTGCAGAAAACAGATCACCACTTTTAAATACTAATGCCATCGCACACATACATGTACAAAGAAAAGTATGGTTCAATGCAATGCAAAGATCATCTAGATGACTGCAGCTACAGGAGATCAGTATCAGTTTACATCATGAATGATACATTCAAGAAACAGTACTGGTAACCTACGAGTTACCGCCTATGTACGCATAGATGATTTGTGAATGTCTTCAAGAATTGCAATGTTTTCCAAGATTTCAGTGCAGTAAAGAAACAGGGGTGCAGACAGTTACTGCTTTCTCCCATAGAAAAGTGTAGTGGAAGCAGGACAGCATGGTCCTGGTTGGCGCACAAGAACTCAACCATTCATCTTTTTCTTCAAACCAAGGTCATTCAAGGAGCCATCTACAACAGGTAAGATATTAAATGTTCACAACTTCTCTTCTGAACTGCACTTCAAAAGATCTCAACGATTACTGTAAAATATAGCACCCATCACTCGCCCAAACTTATTCAACACCTTTCTGAAAAAAGTTGTAAAAATCAACTTGCAAACAAAATCTGTTGAGGTCACTTGACTGCAAAGATCATAAGATATGATGAACATGATTTTCATCCTGAAAGACACCACAGAAAAGTTTGGGTTTATGATAAAGGAACTGCAACAAACATGAAACCGAATAAAAAGAGTCAACAAGACGAGTTACATTTTTTATTAGTTTAATCCACTGAAGTCAACACAGAGAAGGTCAAAAGCTGACAGGATCCATGATTCCCTCCAAACTCTGGTATCTTAGAAAAAACACACACAAGCAGGAAAAATCACAGTCGGTGAATGAGAGCAGACGTCATCACAACTCAACAACCATTTCCAAGGAAGTTCCCCGAATGGTAATCACTTCACATTTAAAGGTGTGCATACAAATCCTACACGTGACAAGGCAATGACGAGAAATGATCCCGCGTTTGCTGAGCGGTTCCGTTTCTGAAGACCTGATGTGGTTCGGTAGATCCAGTGTTAATGACGCTGGGGCAGATAGAAAGATTAAGGGAACAATATACAGCATCTGGTACAGTTCACTCACAACACCAAGAACTGTGGACACGTCATCAGCACAATGTGAGTCATTTCTTATACATACAGAAAAGTTTTCATCAGGTCTCAAAGATCATATTTTTCCTCTTTAACGAGCCTTCATAGACACAGTGTGCTATCAATATATTACAGAACGGGCAGGCAAATATCCAACACATATCCTTGAACATACGAACACATCCACTACAAAGTTGCAACCTCACATACACATTTACTAACCGGATTGTTACAGGTGCAAAACAATTTTTGTCTAAATCTGGTAAATGGTGACTCAACCCAGGCTGCTACAAACAGAGCTTCACCCACTGCTCATGGACATCGTCTGCTCGCGTACAGTAAAGGTCAGATAGCACCAGGAGCAGAGAGGTCGTCAAATAAAAATAAAAACCTTCTTCTCGGCATCCATCTGATTGCTAAACGACATCCGCTGGTCTGTCTAAAGGAAGCTTGTTGCACTGGTAACCCTTCAAAAAAACAAAAGGAAAAAGAACATAATGACGAAACAAGGGCAAATGTCCACATTTCTTCAATAAAAACATCACGAGTTAGCCATGTGAACACTCCCCATCCCCCCCGTTAATGTTCAGTGAGTGGTTTGACCCTGGAAAAACTTCATCTTTTCCTTTAAGTGTAGTTAACACTAAAAAGTAAGACTTTATGAAACACAAACAGTCCATTTATATAAAATTAAAAAAGGAAGAAAGTGCAACTGTAACATAAAAGGAAGACATGGGAGAACTACAGTGGCCATGAGGTGTAAATGAACAACATTTCAAAAAACAATTACATTTCAAAATACACAACCAAAACAATAAAAACACAACGTTTGAAAAAACGGAATTACATTAAGCCAAAGCAGAAGTGGCCAAAGCGGAAATGGCTGGAATCACATGTGAAAAAAATGGAATCACGTGAAACAACGAAATTACATTTGAAAAAACAGAATTATATTTGAAAAAACAGAATTATATTTGAAAAAACAGAATTATATTTGAAAAAACAGAATTACATTAAGCAAAACCGGAAGTAGTGGGGTTTGCCTTTTTTTTTTACTTTATTGTCATTTACCTATTACACAAGGAGTTGGATTGTGGAATGGTCTAGAGAGTGATGTGAAAAATGCCAAGTCAATGTGTACATTTAAGAAAAAGATCAAAGCTGAATTGTTAAAAAAGTATATATGAAGTAGCTTAGTTTGTGTTTTGCATTAGAATTAGAAAAATTTGAGTTATTCATTTTGTTCTGTTACTTGAAAATTATTATGATTGAAATAATTGTTTGAAAAAAGGGGCAGATATAATAAGATTTTTTCTTCTTTTTGCTGCCTTTCATTTTAAATATTTTGTATCTTTTTTTATATTGTTATGGAATTGTTTTGTACTTTTTTAAAATGAATAAACTTTATACCATACCATACCATACATTAATTTATTACATTTTTTCAAATGTAATTCCAGCCACATCTGCTTTGGCTTAAGGTAATGCCATTTTTTCAAATGTTATGTTTTTTGAAATGCTGCTCATTTATACCTCACAGCCACCGTAGACAACTGCTCCTCTGAGGATTGAAAACACAACAAATACTGCAAGCTTCAAATAAAACCTAACTGGTGGAACACTGAAGACGATGATAACATGCCCTCGGATTACTCAGGATGTTTTCAGATTTTTGTAATGAACAATGTTGCATCATTTGGTCATAAACCGCTCAAATTACAGGCTGAGGGCAATCCACATCAATAATAACTGTATTAAAGTCAGGATGATTTGTGACAGCCTTTTGTAAACAGCGAAGGTAAACACAATATCCAGATTTTTGATTTTTTAATCTACTATCAAATCCCACCTAAAAATTATCCCAACAATCCTGTTTGGCACAATTGTTTTCACTTTAGCTATGCTGTGGACTTAAATTAGGACAACTTACAAACATCTTTTAAATGTGTTCATATTTAGATGTGGACGCCGCCTTTGGATGGTTGAGTTTAAGTAAAGGTTTTTAAGTAACGCAACAATCTAAACAAATGTGTGGGAAATAAACTTTCAAAAACAGAGAAGCTGCTCTGTTTCCGACGGTCCTCATCCAGCATTCTGATCCGTTTAGAAAAGCATTTAAATGTAAACAACAAAAATAAAATAAAAACAATGTAAACAACTGGGCGAGTGTTAAAACGGTAAAAACGCTGCTTCAATTCACTTCATCCTTCCTTTGAAGTGAAACATGGTAGGAAAGATGGAAAAACATGAAGTAGTGCTTTGTTTGTTTTTGCATGAGGTGATTGGTGGTAGTGTGTAAATAAAAATGAGAAGAGGGGGTGCAGGGGGGAGTCAGAGGTGGTGAGAGATGTGACATTAGTAACTGTTTCCCTCTGGTCCAGTGTTTCCCTGCACCCTGGCTCGGTTCAGAAAGTAGCTTAGCCGAGGCTGGTAATGTTAGCTTTTCCACCAGGGGGCGCCACTATGCGTTGGGTGGTGCGGCGAGGTACGTTGTCATCAATTTGGGCCCCTTGAAAATAAGAAAATACAATAAAATCTGAACGCTGCGAGATGAACAAGTTGCCATGAATGAAATGTGTTCATTCAGTCACGCACCGGACAGACTGAAGCCAGACTGGTGAAGGTTGCGCACCGGCTGGTGAGTGAACGGCTGCGGCTGCTGAGTGGAGGGGGAGGTCTTCCCTGAGGAAACTGAGGACATCACCTTGGGAGTCACAGTCACCTCGCACACAGGCCCATCGTACTGGCCCCTGGGGACTCCTCGCAGCTCTGTGAGCTGAACAGTTTAATTGATCAGAAAACAAGCTACACAGCTGAGTACCTGCTCAGAGGAGCATATTTAGGAGCATGAACCCACCCTGCTGCGAGCCTTTATCCTCTTGTACACGTGATCTGGGAAGGGCTTACGGATGATGTAGCGCCCACATCCCTCCATGGTGTGAAGCGTACCGTCTTCCAACACAATCTTGCCCTGGCTGATCACCACCAGAGGACCTCCACGCACCTCTGTCCCCTCAAAGATATTATACTCAACAGCCTGGGAGGGAGAACAAGTTTGATGAGATAATGAAAAACATTGTGGTGTGAGAATCAACACAGGTCAAGTATCTATCTGACCAGGTTGTGGCTCTTAGCTGAGATGATCTTGGTCATATCAGGGTCCCACAACACGAGGTCAGCATCAGATCCAACTGCGATGCGGCCTTTGCGGGGGTACAGGTTGAATATCTTGGCTGCGTTTGTACTGGTTACTGCCACAAACTGGTTTTCATCCATCTTTCCAGTCACCTATTAAGACATGACAAATTAAAAATAGCAGATTAACAAAAAGGTTTACAAAGCATTGTGCTCCAAGTCAGGTTGTAAAATTTTGCAAAGTGTTGAAACTAGGTCATATAAAGCTTACCACACATTTGTCCCAGATTAGGGACATCCTCTCCTCCGTGCCGTTGGTGCCCTCTGGAATCATGGTGAAGTTATCTTTGCCTACCGCACGTTGAGAAGTATGGAAAGTGCAGTGAGCGCTACCTGACACCTGCAGGTCACCACTAGATAAAAAAAAAAAAAAAAGGCAAAAACAAACGTGAAAGAGTGAATAAACTTTTATATGTTACACTGATGATTTAGAGGTGGGGATTTTGTAATGCATAAAGGAAATTCAGCTGGGTAAATATGAAATGTAGCAACGGATGTCGTGTCACTGTGTTCCAGCTATCTTTAGGTCTCGGCCCAGACTGCCTACCATGACAGCAGAGAGCCGAGGTAGTCGGGGGTGGTGGGATCAGGGCTGAGCGGTGGAGAGGTGACAAAGGCTGCTGCCTTGGCCCAGTTCTTACTCCAGTAATGGGTACCATCTGTGCCCAAGCTGGCAGATATAGGCTCTCCGTAAACCACAGCACCTACAGGAGAAGACAAGTTGGTGTCAGGCGCAAAGCAAAAATAGCCACAGTTCTGACAGTGGAAGAGTTTCTTTTCTTACCCTTTTTCCGAGCAAGAGCAATGATGTCAGCCGCACTCTTGCTCATCACCTTCGTAACATAGAGGGGGCAGTTGGTCTGATTAGCTATGGTGATGGAGCGATTGACTGCTTCTGCCTCCACCTGCAGACGTAGACAGACATTAGGACATAGGTCACACACCGACTTCAGATCTTGAACCTTGCTGAAGAGCAGCACAGGACAAGTTACCTCCTCTGGACGGCTCAGCACATGGCCTTCAGGGCCAGTGATCCCCAGCTCCAATATACGTTTCTGCTCCTAAACCATACAAACAACAGAAGTGCAGTGTCAGAGAGACAAGTCCTCCCAACTCAAACACAAATCCAAAGTTTTCTTACCTCTGCAACAATGTCTCCGTTCTCAGCATGCACCTGCGCAATGGCTCCAAGTTCTCTGATGGCACTGAACACCTCATAGATCTGTAAGAAGAGATATGCATGAGTCAGCGGGTAGGACAGGTGTCTGCAACAAAGACACCCAACAACCGAGACACCTGTGACAAATCAGCAAAGATCCCACTGAAGCCGAGCACAAGCCAAGCATACCTGAGAGTCAGAAAGTTGGAAAACATCTTTATAAGCCAAATAGACCAGGAAAGAGTTGACACCTGAAGACAGAAAACTTATGAGAAAACAGCCAAAAGATGGAAGCAAAAGAAAAACCCAGAACAAAGGTAGAAATGTTTAATTAAAACAGAATGTAATGCGATTTTTTTCCCCTCATCGTGATTTGCTTCCTCATGCACGTTAAGAGAAACAGCAGCTGTTCGAGCCTACAGGTGTCAGAGTTGCCTACGTACCAAGATCCTTCACCAGTGCCTCCATGTCCTCCTGCATGCCTCTGTGCCACTCAGTGATGTCCACGTGCAAAGAATAGTCACAGCAGGACTTGCCATCAGCCCACTCCCTCCACTGTTTGAAAGCAGCAACCAGGCTGACACCGGGCTCTGGTACCACATGATCAACTGCACAATATAAACAACATGTTGAGTTTTTTTCTGCTAAATTAAATCATACTCTCAAATGCATGCACATATGTTATAACGCTATAAACACGAATGGTGCGTAACTGATCATGGTTGTGCCCCCAGCCAGAGCAGCCCGGGTGCCCTGGTAGAAGTCATCTGCTGCCACCATGCCTCGGTCAGGCATCTGGAATCGGGTGTGCACATCAACCCCCCCAGGCATCACCATCCGTCCGTGAGCCTCAATGATCTTAACTCCACCTGGAACAATGAGGTTGTCTCCAATTTGCCTGATGAAATTAGAACACGGCGTGATGTGCAAATGACGGAAACTCGATCACAATAAAAAGGAGAACAGCTGTTCATTTTAAATCAAGACTTACTTGATGACTCCATCCTCCATGTAGATATCCGCCATGAAGGACTGATCATCATTTACTATCTTTGCTCCTTTGATGAGGAGACGGTCACTCTGAAAAGACATTAAACCATCGTTTAAGAAAAAAGTGCATTTTCTTTAAGCAAGTATTCAGAAGCCTGTTTTCTGCTTAAACAGTAATGCAATATTTAAGAAAATTATTCTTGATTTTTAAATAAAAAACGATTTGACATCTGCGTATTTTTCCAGTTTGTTGAAAAACCCCCTACGACAGGAAACGACCAGATAAATGTCTAAAACACACCAAACTGCTCATTAATCTATTGCATGTTTCATACTAGGAAAACAATTATTAATATTACTCTGCACACTTCATCACTCATAAAATATCACTTGAAAGAGAAGCAGGTTTTGATTAAAACCCGTACGTAAACGCACAGAGTATAAAGTGGCACAATTAGCTGCTCATGAATGAGATGAAATGACAGCGTACCAGGATGGCCTACTTCCACTACAGGCTTTCTGCGCCTCAAAGGAAAGCAGAGCAAGCTAATGAGCGCAGAAGATGTATACTGAAGGCCTCAAGAAAAGAAATACTCAGACTTGCGAGCTGAATGTATGTGGAATTTCTATCAAGCAGCACAGACTGAACTATAAATGGAAATAGGAGTTCCTAAACACATCAAAATATAAACGCTTATCAGGTGCGTGTTGTTGAAAGAACAGCAGACATGTAACAAAACCTTTCTTTGTGTGTGTTAATTGTTTTCCCCTCAAAAACATGCTTTAAAAAGAATGTTTAGTTTCCCAATACTTTTGACATTTTAGTTTGAAGTGCGTTCAAACTTGTTATATTGTGTTTTTCTTTAAACCGGTATTGTATTTAGAGAAGAGATTTTGCACAATGAAAATATTGACCAGTATATGACATATATTTTATGTCATCAAAAAAAAAAAAAAGAAACCATCCAGAAGACCTGACTGAACATTGTTGGACTTTATAGCTGGATTACTGAGCATGGACTGTGGTGATCTGCCAGTATAAAAATTAACAACACAAAATTGAAAATAAATAATAAATGGTAAATGGACTGTACTTATATAACACCTTTCTATCTTATCAAGACACTCAAAGTGCTTTACACTACAATCTGTTCCCTTATTTACCCATTCATACAGCACTCTACTAGATCTCTACAAAGTTAATGGAACAAATCATTCTAAAGAGACTCTTATCACATTCATACACTGATGGGACACACATCGGAGGCAATCACCCTAAATAAAAAATAAAATAAACAGGTGCATAATGTATTGTATATGTCGTAAAGTGACAGGATTATTAGCAGACAAATACATTTTGTTATAAACAAAGCACTGAGAATTTTACACACTCCAGCTGTAATCTGAGGAAAATGTAGGTCAACATGCTTATGAATTAAATACACTCTGCATTTGACTCCTGCTTTAGAGAGACATGACATGAAGCTGTTTAAAGGCTAAACTTAAGTGTCTTAGTTCTAGACCAGGGGTCTGCAACGTGCAGCACTGAAGCCACATGCGGCTCTTTGGTCCCTCTTCAGCGGCTCTTTCAGGCTTTGACCAAAACTGACATAAAACAGAATTTTATTTGTCTATACAAACAACAAAAAAGGACTCGTTCAAAGAGTTTTCCTGTCATTTCTTTTGCAAATATGTGAACACTAGAATAGTACAAGGAGTAAAACATGCTTTAACTTGATGCTTTATTTCTTTATATGAACTGTCTGCATAGGTTATAGATTTTTATTTTTTAAAAGGTAAAAACTGATTATTCCCCCCACTCCACCCACACAAGAATATGTTATTTTTCTTTAATAAATGTTAAAAACCATTAGATTTTTATTTTTAGCTTTATAATGTCACCCTTACTGGCCACAAATGCCCCTCCAGCAAGCCAAAAGTGGCCCATGGGCCACCAGTTGATAACCACAGTTGTAGCAGGTTGTTGCGGCTCCGGACAGGTTTAATGTCGTGAACAAAGGTGTAAAAAATGGCTCTTTTGATCGTAAAGTTTTCAGACCCCTGAGCTAGACCAATAACAGGGTCTACGAGTCTGAAGTCCCTGAGGGGGTCCTTGTTGACTCTGAGATGTCCAGCATGTTTACAACCTTGACTGAACCAACAGGTTAACCCACCTGAATGGTCTGTGTTCAACACATGATCCTAACTGTACAAGATACATGACATTATTACCAAGACTAATTACCAGCTCCAATTAAGACTGTCAAACAAACCAGACGGATGCAATGATGAGGGCAGACAGAGTAAATGTCAGATGATGGAGAATGACAGGAAGTTGATTTTAATCATGGACTCCCACCAAAAGGTGAGGATGCTAAAGACAAAACTGAGAGAAATGTTATTGCCACAGGAGATGCCATCAGCGTGTTTTAAGGAAGAAGCTCGACATGGTGGAAAGTCACGAGCTTCGCTAGTGGACATCAGTACTGTTTATCCATGTTTTGTTAGCTTCAGAAGCGGAAGTGGTGCTGAATGAAAAGATAACGGCGGCTAAGCGATGAAGCTTTTTGATCCAAACCTGGTGTGCGCCGCCGATTCTAAATATCCACCAGCGAGGGTCAGAAAATATTATATTTGACTCGATACTCACTGTAATCCGCGGGATGTTCTTCTTTCCTTGATAACCAGACATTTTGACGCTCCCTCTGACTACAGCGGCCCCCTTGCCTCTCGGCTAACGCTAGCTAAAGGATGAATGGATGCTGTGACCAGTCCAGTCGACGCTCCGGCGGCTGAACGCAACCAGTTTCTAACAGAACAAAGATGTGTTTTCACCGTGGGGCTAAATAAATGGTGCAAAACGAGAGGTTGTGTCGTTGCCCAACACTGCTATCCCTGGATTTATTGACAGAACGGGTCCCTGAAGACCACACAACAATCCAGAAGACAGGAGCCGCAAAGGACGACGCATGCGCAGTGCCCCGCCCAGCTCATCCAGATCCATGTTTCTACAGATGTCTGGTCTGCAGGACGAAGAACTACGGGTGAAAACCACGATACGATATTATATTGATTTGTTTGTATGACGATACGATTTTTCTCAATATCACAAAGTCTGTCACGATACGATTTTGATTCTATTCGATTCACAAGTCTGCGATCGATATATTGCGATATCAAATGCCCATCTCATTTACATATAAATAAATTTACAAAAACAATTCAAATATGATTTAACCATTTTTATTCTGTTATTACAGGCACCGGGCATTTAAATTAAAAAAGTTTTCTTAATTAATGAAAACATAAAATGACCTGTTCAGTATAGTCTCACATTTCTCATGTTTAAGTGCATTTTTTTTAACCAGTTAACTTAAAAGTGCCCTGATTACCTTTCAGTTATAAAGAAATGGAAACAGATATTGAGCTTACATAACATGGCTATCAATGTCGTGTTTCTTCAGGTGAACGGCCACATTCGTTGTGTTTCTCGAGTATTTTAACTCACACGGGCACCTGTTGCATACGGCATGAGTTTTGTCTGTTGAGCCGTCCTCCTGTTGAAATTAAAAAATATTTCCAGTGTTGATTTAAATCCAGCAGGAAAGTGAATTTCATTATCTGTGTTTTCCGCCTCGTCTGCCATGTTGCTGAGGTGGCCGCAGAGCGCAGCCGCGCACGGAAATGGTGACACAGACGTGCCTTGGTAATTTCAAAATAAAAATGTATTTTTAAAGATGATATGAATCGATGTTTTAGTTTTGACACGATATAATTGAATCATTAATCATTTAATCGATATATTGATTTAAATCGATGTATTGCTACACCCCTAGGAAGAACCCTCATCAGCTTTTTAAATATTAAAATATTTGTCATTAGTGAGAATAAAGACGAAAGCACTGTAAACCATACACACACGATTTACTGATTGTTAGTGATTTTTGTTAAGTTTCTGAAAACCTACATACAGTAAACACAAACAATTTATTCATATTTATATCATTTGTTTTTATTGTTTAGGTGTAACATGAAGACTTTTGTGTTTTTTATACTATCCGTTTAAACTGTCCAAAGCTCACTGCTGTCAGCGTATACTTATGCCCACAGTAGGATCCATTTAAAAGATAACTGGGCTCTTTCTGAAGATCAGTGTACAGTACAAACTATTTCATTTCCAAAATGCTCTGCAATTAGTTAGCTGTACATAAGCCTGCGTGGACCAAATAAAACATTTATGATTTAGATCACACCTTAAGGACTTGATTTGTGAGGGATTTCAAACTAAAAATGCAGCTGCTGAAGAGTATAGCCTTTTTCTATATGAGCATAATGTAATTTTTCTACAAACACCTTCAAAGGAGTTATACAATCAGCATTAATATACAGAAAAGCATATGTTTTCTTCGAGAAATGATTTCTATTGTAATATGCTGGATGCTTCACAGATACACCCACATGATTTAGCTTTTAAGTGAGTTTAATGTAGAGAGAAATCTACATTAGAGTTCGACAACACTTTTAAAAGAAGCCCTGGAAATACTCTCATCTGTGGTGGTGATTTCTACCACTGAGCAACAGCAAAAACACTTCACTGCCACATACTAGAGCAGCATGTACAATATGCATTAATATCGCTGTAATAGAATTATACAACACGGAGAGGTTTCCATTACACGGGGCAGATCACAGCTTAAAATATTCTTCGTATGTGCATTTTTTAAAATACCTAAACATGAAAGAAGACAAACGAATAAAAAGCTCAAGATAAATCACAGCTGTAGTGAAAGAAAAAAATTGGCACTTTGCTACTGTTGTTATTTTTTGTGTTTAACAACAGGATATGTAGGAAAAAAGTACATTAAAATAGCATATGGCCTGGTAAAATGCCTTCAGCTCTAAGTTCCACAAACTACTTCAATAACTTTAGAGTAAAAGTTTGAAACTAGATGTTTTGTTTAAGCTTTTCAACACTCACAAAATAAAGCTTTTAATAGAAACCCTCAGGGGTCGACATGATAAACGTCCTACACTCAAACATGAGCAGGATTTGAAAAACTGGTCTTAGTGTGCAGCATTATTCAGCTCCATTTGCCATTTATTGCATTTTAAATGCTGGAACAACAACAAAAAAAAACTATTTTTGTTTACCAGTGTCAAATAGTTTGTGCAGTAGTTGCAGCGCAAAATATAGATTCAGACTTTCAGCTTTTTTCTTTTCTTTTTTTTTAAGAGGAGAGCTGCAGCTTGGTGGGAAAAGAAACGACCAGATCAAGACACAACAATAAACTTCAGCTCGAAACGACCTGCCATCGAGTCCCTGTGGCGTATTTTTGACTTGGACTCAAAGCTGTGACTGCATGTACAATAATACAGCGCCGGTGTCCAAATCTGATGGAGTGCCGGCATATAATGAATACGACTACGTCTAAAATGCGGCGCCAGTTAATGGTGATTGGACGTGTGGGTGTACGACAGATGCAGACAACAGAGAGCGGGACAACAGGAGGTTGTTGGATATTAGGATTGGAGGCAGGAGAACATCTAGGCACTGCTTCAGATTCACTTCAGTAGGAGCTGGTGGAGGCTGTGGCGAGTCTCTTACCAATGTACACCCTGAAAAACAAAGCCGGAAAGTGCTTCAAATTCAACCACTTGATTAAGACAAAGAATATTTAAGTACAACAAAGAGCAGTTTTATCTTACCCGAGGCCAAGCGCCAGGATGTGTGAGATGAGCAGGGAAGGGATGAACACTTTAAGGATTTCAGCAGAGAAGATGCCACCTTTCTTCATGACTCCGCTCTTTCTCATACTCAGGGATCCTGAGCGTCGGGGGTGCCTGAAGTGGAACTCCCTGAGCAGAACAATCACACAAGCAGTTTTTTTGTATCTCAGTGCACAATTTACTAAAATACCCTGAATGATTTTGTGTAGGTGGCTGCCTCCATACTTTGGCGGAACATTTTCAGGTCTACTGGACCAGTCGGCGACCCAGTCTACTTCTTTGTTCATCAAGATGTCGTCCTCTTTGTCTTTCTCTGTACTGTCTTCCTCTGACTGAAATCATAAAGGGCAAAAACACTCACAAAAAATTGAAGGGCTAGAAAATTTGTAATCAAAGATATAAAAAGACATCTTTACCTGACTGTCTCTTGGGCTGGGCATCTCTACATCAAATGTTATCTGCCCCTCATCCTGCCCTGGACTCGGAGGCCTGTGAGGACTGCCAGCATGATTGTATTAAAACCACTAAATAATTAATTAGCAGTCCAGTGCAGCCAAAGCTTCACTGGATCCTCAATAAGGCTAACCTGTGACAGGAGGAGTTACTTGGGCTGGATTCATGCTGTGCATCCAGAAGAATTTTTTCCATGTCTCCGTTGTGGATAGAGGACGACGACGGCACATGTTCTAGTCCTCCAATCAGGGTTTCATCACTTTCAGCCACGTCTAAGGTCTGGAGGGTTTGACTCACGCCTGTGTTTGCATTTATTTGGTCAGCAGCGGGTGCCATTAGCAGGTCGGTCTGACTTCTCTGGGCCTCTGTGTTCCCATTCAGCTCCAGCTCTACCCAGGAGCCTTGGCAATGTAATAATAGATGCCAGAAAGAGGAGAGATTAGATTTGTCTTGCCTAAATGGAAACATAACAGCTGACTTCTTGACTTTCAAATGACATGTACACAGACATCACTGATGTGTTTGTGCCACTGCCACACAAAGTATGTAATCTGTTAAAGCCCGCAGAGCTTGTGAAAATAGACCTTCTGACAGCCAGGAGACCCCTTTCTGTTTTGACTGCGCTGGCAATAAAAGATAATTTCCGTGCTTTGAGGACGGCCAGTAGCTGGATGGACAGCACACGTGCAGCCATGTCTGCTCCCTCTCTGTGGGTCTTGCATAACTGTGGCGTGCAGTGGCAGTCAATCTGCCCAGACACGTCGCTGTTACACACCAAGCTCAAACCGGCCCGTTCACTGCCACTTACTGCGTGGATACTCGACGAATCAAGGCTACAAAGAGGATTTATTATTTTGAACGGCTATACCGCAGGGACTTAATTACTTTCTTCGGAACTGCCAGAGTGTTGCTAAAACAGTATGGCATTTTGAGCCTTCCAAGTAAAACGCCTCGTATTTGCAGAATTTAATAAAACATGTCCACGATGGTGGTAAACCGTTATTGAATTTACATCCTTTTGTCCCAAACTTGTTTTCATTTTGGGCTAAAGCTCGCCAGACCGAGACTTGTGAGCGTGATTGGCTGTTGAAACGTCAATCAAACTTTTATCGCAAAGCGATTGGCTACTTTCTGGTGACGTAACCAATAGACTACCCTCCCCTACCAGAAGAGGAAATTCCATCTCCTGCTCAACTTTTTAATAAAACGTTTAGTGGAATTATTTCATCCATGACGTCGTTAATAAACAACATTACTAATGTAACAGTAATAACATGGCGCACATTCTAGCTGCTGACACGACGTACCTTGAAGCCCAGGCTCTTCGTTATTGTTTTGAGGAGCTGAAGCGGTGGACATGTTGACAACGGTTCTAATGTTCAATGTGGATCTGCGCATGCGCGGAGACAACACAACAAACCGGAGCACAGGCGCATTGTTTTTAAGAAATTTATTGTAAAAGTACTTTTTTCTTCCTCTAAGGTAAACGACAAGAACGTGTAACACAATGCTCATTAAGTGTTTGCAAAGCAAGATACGGGGTAAGTATAAATCTTAAAGCCCCTGTAGGCTCTTATCACTCCTGCTGCCTTGCATAACTTGAAAACTTAATTTGAATGAAAATGCACATTATTAAGTAGTGGTTTTTACATAGTAGTAAGTCAGACTTTTATTATATATAGCTTGTGTGAAAGAAAGCTGGAACTAATCCCAAGGTTTTCCTTGTAGGACACTATTAGACAGCAAAATCTGTTAAAATATAACATCAGACAGTTTAAAAAAAGTTTTTAAAACTTTAATCTAAATTTCCTTTGACAAAAATTGCTGTACTAAATATATCTATATATATATCTATATATCTATATATCGAGAGAGTGAGAGAGAGAGAAAGAAGTTATTCCCAAACATATCACCAACATTAAAAATATAAAAATCACAAAAACCAAAAAGAGCATTTTGTTTTTAATTCCTGTGATATAACAGACATAGATTTGCTACAAGCAGACAAAACTGACTTCATTCATTCATTCTTCTACTCACTTCTTCCTGTTTAGGGTCAGCAATTTTTTACTTGATGCAAAGCAGTTATGAACTATAACCAATGATGTTTTGAGAATAAGATTTACTTTAAATTAGTTTTTGTTTGAGTCCAGAAAAGCTACTTTCTTGAAGCCCCAAAATGTTCAGTCAGGTCATCTGGACAGTTCTTTTGCGCTGAGATGTTTCGTCCTTCATCCAAAGGACTTCCTCAATCTGAGAAACCACCTAGCAAACATTTGGATTGGTGGCTTCTCAGATTGAGTACAAGTCCTTTGGATGAAACGTCTCAGATAAAAAAAGAACCCGTCCAGATGACCTGACTGAACTTTGTTGGATTTTATACCTGGATTATTGAACATGAACTTTGGTGTTTTGAATCACTTTGGCATGACCGTCTCCGAGGAGTTGACAGGGCGAACCCCGGAGGCCATTTTATCATCAGCAAACTGGTTTCTTCCACTACGGAGTGTGCCGTTTGTGGGAATCAGTTTTGTTTGGGGGCTTCTCAGACTGAAGAAGTCCTTTGAATGAAGGACGAAACGTGTCGGCACAAAAAAAGAACCTGTCCAGATGACCTAACTGAACATAGCTGGATTTTATACCTGGATTATTGAGCATGAACTTTGTTACTTTCTTGAAGTTTTCAAGTCACCGCAGCAGAAAATTCCCCAGAACAGGCTCCTGTCTGGTGTGCCAGAAAAATGAGGACAAGTACCGATACTTGATTATCTTAACTTTTTAATGTTGTAAGAAAGGCAACGGAGTACTCGTGAACATCATTGTGGCAAACAACAGCCTTGAAAGACAGCTGATGTTAAGAAAACAAAATGAGAGGACCACCCCCCAACCAGTCTATATTGCTTGTCAATTCATTAAAACAAAAATACAAATCTGGGTGTATTACTATACACTTATTTTTACTAGAATCTCTTTTAAATTACAAAGGTTCATACATTTATTTTGGACATGACACAAACATGACTGACCTTCACATCAGAAAATGAAGGTCACACACACACACAAAAGAAAAAAGTAGAAAAGTATCTCCTTACAAAGACCAAACCCAGAACCCTGAGACTGAAACTTGACAGTAGATGAAACATCAAACTGAAACAGGTTGTTTTGTTTGGAGCGGCATTTACCGATAAGCTTTGTGCCTCGTTTCAAAGGCTCAACGTTTCTCAAGTGGAAAACCGTGCTATCATCAAGCCGTTTGCTAAGAATACAAATTTATGAGAACACAGTTCATTTGGGCTTCTCAGTGAAAATATGGTGGTTAAATCCAGCTAGTATTCTTGTAAGACATGACAGTGAAGGAGAGGCAACAACATGGAGTTAGCTTAAATAGGCGACCACACAAAGTGCTTCTCCTTGTTAAAAACAAACAAGTCAACACAGGAGACATTTCCTTGTTCAAAAACATCCCTCTGCCTACACAACTGAGCTGACAGCCTTCAAAAAGATTAATAAATTAATGATACATTTCTTTGAAAATGTTTACCAACACAGAGGGCCTCGTGTTTTACAGATAACATCGTTTGTTCAGCAAAAACTATGGCACATGACCAAAAAAAATTAAATAAAAACCTTTATGATCTAAATAAACTCTAAATCTGTCCCTGAACTCTCTAAATAATGGCAAAATACAGTAAGAGTTTTTATTTTTAGGAGTTACGAACACCTGAAATACTTCTCTTTGGACATCCCATGTTAAAAATGACAACTCTATTGATGCCACAAAAATCTAAACTCTTTTGAACGAAAATATCCACCAGAAAAAAAAAAAGAGCAAAGGAATACCCAACTTTCAAAACAATCCGTGCACGGTCAGCCCGAAACAAACGGGATAAGAAACTACAGTGACTGGACTGTAATCCTATTGCCCAAATTCTTACAAAAATAAATCAACTGTAGTGAATATTATTATTTTTTTAAATCAGGTACAGTATAAAACTTCACATGTACAAAAGAAAGAAAAAAAAAAGTCTACAAACAGAAACTAAACCCAGATGTTAAAGCGGTCCGTCTGCAACAACGTACTTTAAAAGTAAGTTGGCAGCAGCGCTCAGTTTTGATGCCACAGAGAATAAATTCAGGCCATTTCAGGCCTTTCACACACTAAAGTGTTTGTCCTGAGCTTTAAGCAGCTGTCCACGAGTGCAGGGGCGAACAGCTGGACCAGGAACACCTTGTCTGTAGGACAGCTTTAAATAAGTTCAGTGTATAGGACCGGTTCCTTTGGCATCATCTGCCATCATTTAACACCCAAACACGACACCTGAGAAATCGAACTCACTTCCAGTGTCAGACTTCGTGCTTCCCATCAACAAGCAACCGAGCGAGTCCGCTCCATGTCGGAGTAAGCTCAGTTACTTTTCTGTAACGCATCGTCTCACGGTTGCTTGAAAAGACCTTTAGGCACGTGCATTCAGCTTTTCAGAGTATATCCAGTTTTAGGAAATACTGTACTATAGTACATAAATTCAGTGTAAAAAATGCCCTTTGAAATCTTTTTCACCACTATGTTTTTTTTATTTTCTAAGCACAAGCCTAAAAATATGGAGAACAGCTGAGCTTTCTTACAGTTTTGGGTTCAAGAGCTGCAATTTTTCTGCAAACACCAGACAGCAAAGAGGCTCTGGTGGAGATATAAAACTCAGCCGTGTCGATGTGACAAAGAGTGTTTTTCTAAAGCGGACCGTTGTCGTATCGCAACAAAAACCGCGTAAGAGACCAGTCAGAGTCCTTGTTTAACGAGCAGAAACACAGAGGAGTGTTTTCATCTACTCCTGTTCCTTACAGGAGGTCTGACACAACACGAGCAGTTACAGCAGATCGACTCACTGCTGTAAGAAAACTGACTCGATGAGAGATTTGGTTTTAAAACCAAAACCATTAACCACATTAGTGACTTTTCCAGTCCCGAGTGCACAGCAAATACTCGAGTTTCTTATTGCAATGGATGTGTGTGCATGACTTTGTGAGGAAAACTTAAAGCACTCCAAGTGGCTCATGTTTGACAGATGGCTGTTGCTTTAACAGAAGAAGTGGTAATATGCCCAAACTATGTTTGACTATATGTGCATTCTACTATGCAACAACTAACAGACACTGCCAGATGCAGAGGCAACAAGAAGTTTACAAAAATGTAATCGATGTAAACTTCAAGTAAAGAAACGTTACAGGAGACGGATGAATAACAAAACACTGACTGATTTGAAGTTAAAAAGCTGATCTAAGAAAGATTCGTACTCCGTTTACAAATGTTAGTAGTAATGCCAGGTTAACAAGATTTTCAGAGAATGAGCTAAAGATGATAAAACACTCAGTCCTTTAAGATGAGGGGAAAAAAGTCGAACAAACTTGGCAACTTGACAGTTACTGGGCAAAAAAATGAAGTGTTGACATCTTGTATTTAGTCTCAGTTGGCACGAGAACAGAAGAATCAGTGACAGAAAAAGAAAAAACAAAAAAACAGTACGAAGAAAATCCCATTTAAACTTGTAAAACAAAACAGCTACAAAGACTTAACCAGCAGCTAGAACAGAATCGTGTCACTATGGCACAAACAAATAATGAAACTGGTATTTCCCTTTGGTTTGGGACGTAGTGAAGCTGCAAATGGAAGCTCAGTAATGGAGTGCTCCTAATGGAAGAAGTCAACGCTCCAAAAAAAAAAGACGTGATGGTCTCGTATGTTTTGAGCTGAGATCAACATTTGTCATTTACTCAAAAATATATTTTCATTAAGATTTGAGGGTTTGGTTCAAAACCGACAGGCTTATTTGAGAGCAACAAGGCTAAAAAAACTGATCTGAGTGGTTACCAAACGCTAGTTCACCTTATCCTGGAATATGTACAGATTGTTGGTGGTTGCCACGGCAATGATGTTGTCCAGAGGATGCCAAGCAGTGTGGAGGATCTTCTTGTTAAAGTCCAGACTGTCTACACTGATCTCGTCCTTTTTGCGCTTCCCGCCCGTGCTTATTTTGCGAGGCTTCAGGACCGATCGCGGCTTGCTGTTCTCCCGCGATGCCTCAAAGGTCACGTCGCGCCGGTAGCCTCGATCAAACATCCTGAAGAAGTTGTTGTAGGAGCCGGTCATCACAACACTGTGGAAAAGACAAGGGGTGTGTGAGCAGCTGTTTGACAAGTGACCTCGACTGATCTCATATTTTTAGGTAGGGAAATGTGCTCACCTGTCATTCCCATTCCAGCAGCACTCAAACTTGTCAAAGATGCAGTCGTTCTCATAAAGCGAGCACAACTTACTCCTGAGATATTCATGCACCTGTTCAAACATGGATAACAAGAACTGTGAGCAAAGGTTTAGCAAAGGAAAAAATGACCACCAGACACTTGTTTCTGATTTATTATTTGTGAAACACCAATATGGACGCTATTTGTTACAGACCTGATATGTTTCTACTGGCCGCGTTTCCATGTTGAGATCCCAGATTTTGACGGACAGATAGTCCCGCGTCATCATGTAGCGTCCGCTGTGGCTGAACTTCACATCAGAGATGGAGGAGATGATTTCGGAGAAGAATGAACGGTTGTTGGGGTCTTCTGGCTCCTCGAACACTAAAACAAGAAATGGGTGCATGTTATTAGACCTCCTTGGCAGCAAATCAACTGAAAAAAAAAGCAGATACAATTTTTTACAAGAATGTTCAACAAATTATTGAGCTTAATAATTGTTGAGGCTGAGTGGTTAGAGCAGTCATCCTCCAATGCAAGAGTTGGGGGCTCGATTCCACCAACAGTCACATGCTGAAGTGTCCCTGGGCAAGACACTGAACCCCTCATGGCCTCCCATGTGTGTCCCATTAGTGTATGAATGTGATAAAGCACTGATTATTCTTGTAGAGATCTAGTAGAGTGCTGTATGAATGGGTACATGAGGCACAGATTGTAGTGTCAAGAGCTTTGAGTATTGTCATCTTGATAAGTTAGAAAGGTGTTTTCTAAGTGCAGTCCATTTACCAGTTACTTAAGACTGGTTAGATGTTCATCAGTCTTCAGTCCATCGTGTGAGGCCAACAATGCAACAGAGGCTAAATACAGAATGAACTGAGGGCACATTTCTTTACTCTTCTTTTGTTTATGGTTTATTAACTTTAAACAAAAAAGTAAAGACATTTAATTTTTATTATTTTTTTTTTTAATCAAGGCTGGAACAACATCTATATAAAACCAAGCTAAAACCAGGTGTGAAATATATTTTTTTGTCAGTTTAAAAATGTGTAAAAACAAACAAACAAAAAAAAGCCCAACTTTTCTAGAATAAAGTAACTGCAGTGAAAGTGCTCCTGGATAAGAGACACCATGCACTGAAGAGAAAAAGATGAAATTCACTGTACAATGTACACAATAAGCTATAAAATGTTTAAAAATGTTTGATGCAGTTTGTTTATTCTAATTACCAAAAAAAAATACAATGACGTTCAAACATACCAAACCACATAGCTTGACAAAATGTTTGTTAGCTCAGTTTAAAAAAATTATGAACCCAATCCTTTGTGTCTTTAGGGGCACAACTGATCAGTTAGGCAAGCTTTGGAAGTTGCAAAACATTTAAACAAAGTAACTAAAAGAAGAAATAGACATTCTCCGTAAAATATCGTCTGCAATTAAAAATAATGCATTAAATGGACTTACATTTGGCGTGTGTGTCGCACAGAGCGGACGCCCTCATGTCACACAGGCGGATGGTTCCCTTACTGCTGCTGTAAACAAACGTGTTGCACTGGTAGGGGTGAAACTCTGCCGCCGTGATCACTTCTGTCAGCTCCTCCATATTCGCTGGTTTGATGTCAACAATATCTGGGGGGCTCGGGTTAAGATTAAACCTGCCACACCTCACATTACGACTGTTTTTGACAGAGTGCGCCTTCGTGTACATTTTTAAAATGAACCAAATCTTTGTTTTCGTGGCGATGCAGAAGCCGTCACTGAATTAGTGCGTGTGTATTCTGGCTTATAAATCATCCAGTAATGTTTCTGGTTTACTTCAGATGTAGTTTGCTGAATCAGGACATGGCACAGAACACAGGAAGATGAAACTATGAGGAACAAAAAGAAAGGAAGTTATTACATTACTTTATAGTAGATGTTCAAAACAATATTTTACTTTGGTGACATCTGGTGGCATTTATTAAGTATGGTGTGGTGATCTGACTGACGGGTTTGGCTGCCTTTAAAACACAAATATATATTTTTTAAAGGACAAGCAACACAATTTACATCTTGTTGCATAAGCATTAATACAAGTTAATTTATTGCTTTCTGTAATGGAACAAAAACGAGTCATCTTAACACAACGTGGTTTTAAAGCCAAACTGACGCAAACACTCAATGCCTTTTCCTCTTTACGTGGAACAGTCTAACGGCAGGAACACAAAAGATGATGCAAGTAAATACGACGTTAAATATGTGGAATTAGCTAACGAAAGGATACTAAAGCTGCGATCTGTGATCTCCAAATGCCAAAGGTTCATGCGCAGGTCATCTGCAGACAGGTAGGTCTCATGATCACTGTTGACTGATATGGAGTTGATGTGGTAGGTGTGTGCGTTTGCAAACACTCGTCTGGGACTGGCCTCCACCATCAGATCCATGGGCCTGAACACCGGTACCTAAGGGAACGAGTTTCAGGAAGATATTTTCACAATAAAAAATTTTAAAAATAGTTTGGAGAGCAAAGTGAAAGGCTTGAAGCTGAAGGCAGACTACTTCTCTTTTACATAAATGATTGGACTGACTTCTTTCTTTTCATTATTTATAGATTTGAGCTTCCCAGTCTGATAGATATTATTAATAAAGGCACAAGTAAAAACTGCTCTAGAAAAACAAATCAAAACATTAGTGGGACCATGGTAAAGTTTTCACCCGTAGAGTCGTGACAGTGTTGGGATCTCTGTAACGTCCGTCCTCTTCCTTTAAGTTGTAGCCCTCTGGTCTCTTGTCACGCTCACTGACTTTCCACAGCTTAATAGTTTTGTCTGCCGGCGAGACAGAGCAGAGTTCAGATAACTTTGATAAGAGAAGATGCCACATGGAGTCCCGCTGCAGTGAACGTGGTTTACTAACCATTCGTAGACAAAAGGAACTGCGCCGCGTTCTTCTGAGGTAGCCATCGAATCTTGTTGATCTTCTCCTCAATCTCAAGACTTTTCAGGTAGTCGAACTCAGGCTCGTGGCTCTGGAAGGTGCTGTAAACGTTGTACTCTCCTCTGCACTGCGGTTGGTTCTTACTCTACATAAAAACACACCTTCAATCAAACTTACGTTCAGGTAGAGTCATAGTAAAATAATGTATTTATGTTGAGACCAGCTATAATTAGAAATGTTTTAGCATGGAATTTTAGCTCAATTTCATTAAATTGCCATATACCGTACAGGTTCAACAGAATATATGAAGTTAAAACCTCATCTGCTGTGAAAAACCTGTAATATTTGTATTATTTGTATAATGCATACCTCAGGCTCCTGCTGAAAGATGACAACACGACCCCCCTTGTCCCCGGTGGCAAGTAGCTCCCCAGAGTGATTGAATTCAACCGTTGAGATGATGTCAGCTGTCAATACAGTGTTTTTATTAAATAAGAGCAACAAAAATAGATGTTTTTGCGTAACATAATCAGGAATTAGGAATCACGTGTACTTCAGCGTGTCAACCTGTGACTGTGACCAGAAATAAACTTTATGAAACATGGCAAAAAAACAAAACAACAACAATGAGGCACTACAGTGATCCAATGCAGTAAAACTCAATTGTACGCTGAACACGATTAGCAAAAACGATCGACTTTCCATCTGTAACCATTGTGCACCTTTCCAGACAATAGTTCAACAAATCAACAATCAATCTCTGTTGACAGGGAGGCATTATTCTGAGCTGGTTCTGGTCCAAACAGCACACAGAGTGCCTGATACGACCAGGCTCCACAGTCTGTTGAATAAAACAAAACGAGGCAGACTGAAGGAGATCTTTGCCCTGCTTCACTGTTGGCTTACGTAGTGTGTACTCGAACTCTAAAATACTCTCATTTGTCCTTGTTCTCAGTGCAAAGCTCACTATAAACAACCTTCAGGCTTTTACATGTCAACATGTCGCTATGTGTTGCGCAAGCATGATTTAATAATCTCTTGTTGTGATTTCACATTCAATGCAACGACTGAAATGATGAACTCCAAACCAGAGTTGTACTAGAAAGTTCCTGGAGGGGACTGTCACGTGACAGCTATTAAATTTTTTTTTATTTGACAGTACTGTGTGTTGGGGTTCACTCTCAGCTACCAGTACAACAAATTTCTGCTCAATATAGCAACAATTTTTTTTTTAAATCAATGAATTGTAATCTTTTTTCTTTTAAGCTACGGTGGCCATCTTGGACTTTTGATTTGGATTCAGTACGTGATGGGGAGCCTTTTCAGCCATCACCGCACCAAATTTCAGCTCTGCGTGTGTAAAAAAAAAAAAAAAGAGTTAAAGCCATTTAAATTTAGCTTTGACTGCCATCTTGGATTTTTTAAATTTGATTTCAGTTTTTATTGGGTCTTGCTCTCAGCTATCATCACACCAAATTTCAGCTCAATATCTCTAAAAATGGCTGAGTTATCATATTTTTTCCCCTTTTATCTAAGGTGTCCATCTTGGATTTTTAACTTACATCAGGAATGTATAACAACTTGCTTTCAGCTATGGCCATACCAAATTTCAGTTCAATATCTCAAAGAATGACTGCGTTATAATCAAGTTTGTGTTTTCTGATGTAGCTGTGGCAGCCATCATGATCCAAAATGGCTCCAAAAGTTAATCGGTGTTTTGTTCAGGGACCTCTCCACTCTACGTTATGTGACCTCACTGTGGCAGTAAGAAGCTGTTACGAGTTCTGTCAGTCGTCACATCATTAAACAGGGGCAGGGGTCTCTGCGACTATCACCCTCTAACAGTGCTGTTATTGCAAGTATCACTCAGCCCTCTGTGAATAGCAAGCGGCAACCAGGGCACTAACAACCCATCGTTAGGGCTCTAATGATCAATTGTTAGGCGGATGGGCCTCCTTTTGCATGTAAATAGCTAGTTCTGGCTGTCAGCAGCAAACTGATTGAGCCAATGAAGGTGGAGAAGGTGCTCCACCTATTTATAAGACTGAGTTTGTTGCAGCGCCTCAGACTGATGAAGTCTTTTGGATGAAAGACAAAATGTTTCAAGAAGAATCAGTCAAGAAGACCTGACTCAGGCCCTATTTACACGGACACGATGGGGGGAAACGTAGGTTTTTCCGTATGTTAATTAGAGGAAAAGATTTGCGTTGACACGGACGGATTTTGGGTTTACATGCATCCAAAGGAATCCCCCCCCCCCCATCTGCTGTAGTTACCATGCCGGGTCATTAGATGGCGCTGTGAATTTTGTACCTTCACCTAATGCGCATGTGTGCTGCCTCGGCACGCCGTGTCCTTTGACCTAAAAGGTTCAGCTAAAAACATCTTAACAACAAGTTAAAGCTGGATTCTGGCTGGATTGTGGATAAGAGTGGACAGATTTGACGCCAAGCGGGACCGCTTCATCTAACAGCTCCACACCGGTCACTGAGTGGACCAGAACCGAGTCGACTATGTCGGACTTTACTCCATGATAATCAGTAGCTGTTTTACTGCAGGTAAATCAACGTTCTTAATAATGTTAGTTTTTGTTTACTTCGGTTACAAAACAACCAACCGAGTTTTTATTTTTTCCTGAAAGAAGAAGAAGCTGTCCTTCCACCAGGCGGACCGGTTCTGAACGAGGCTCGGCCCAGATGAACTGCAGGAGGACGTCGAAGAGAGATGTTGGATGAACTATTTGTTTAAAATTCCCCTCAGTTCTTTTATTCAATCCATTCAATGTTTTAACCTGCATTAATCAAAGGAGTGACAGCCTGAACGAGCCAGATGAACAACGTGGGACTTCCATACCGGATGAAAACAAGAGTCCAGTTGTTCATTAACGTAGTTTACAGTTAACGTGTTTTAATAGTGTGTTCAGTTTAATTATCAGTTTTTGTGTGACATACAGTTTGTGGTGTTGAATAAATAAATAAAAATTAAACCTGATGTCTTCATTTTCAACTTTAGTGTTCATGCTATATGTTTAGCATAATTTTAAATTTGAATTACATAATGTCCAGATAGCTTCATTTAGCTCACAGCTTCATTATATCTCGCACACTAACATAAATACTGTTTATTATTATTAAACTGTTGTTATTTAGCACATTTAAATGTTATAGTGCAGCGCGACGTGTGCGCGTGCCACGTTCTATAAACAGCGACATTAGAACTGGATCAGATTGTGTCTCTTCCAACACAGATGTCGGTCACAGCACCTGGAATCTGACGTAGATTAACTACGAGATTAAAAATAAAATAAAAATATAATCCATCAGTCGAGGTTCTGAAAGCAGTGTATCTGCCGTCATGTTGATAGAAATATAGCGTCTGTCCGCGTGTGCGCATGTGGTTTAACACAAAGCCTCAGTGGGAGATGTTTACATTATCAGCGGGGGGTCAGCGAAAAACCTCCACTCTGGAAGGTGGGTTCAGAAACCTCCGGATTCAAAGAGGGGGCCACTGGTGTCGTGTAAATGATCAGCAGAACTGCAGAGAGAAAGCTGCAGATGCACTCAAAATACGCGCCGTGTAAACGGCCCCTTAACCTTGTTAGATTTTTCTACCTGGATTACGAAGCATGCATCAGGACAAAGTTCAATCAGTGTTTTTCAATTAGAAAAACGGCGTCTTTGTTTGCAAACTACATTGCCATGGTAATTCGAAAGGCCAATAAAAGCAATAGTACACAATGCTATACACAGTTCGTTTTGAGATCAAATTTGTGGAGGTACACATTGTGGATCGGGTCGCATTCAAGTTGAAGGAAGATCAAGACCTTTCAGGTGGATAATAGGTGGCTGCCTTGGACTACAGGGATATGTAGTTCAAATAAAAGCAAACAAATGAGACTGAACTCGATGCTTTTATGACAAGTGCAGGAGTACATATGGTGTGATTTACTTACAACCCCTTTCATGAACTTACCTTCAGCTACATCATCATCCATGGCTCCTTTGACCTGTGAGAAGCACCACTGCACATCGCTGCTCCCACCTCCGGGTCCTGCACACAAACACAAACCCAGAGTTGGCTCTCAACTTCTCATTAGCCGGAAGCTAACCCAACTCAAACTGAGTTAGCTGCATAAAGAAAAGGCAGGCTGCGACCTGAAAACAATCCGTGTGTTGTGTCCGAGTGTCTTAACTGTGAGGCAGAACGAGTTTCAGTTTCAGTGTGTTTGGTGAGTGACAGGGACTCTGTCAGAGATGTTTGGGTTTTATTTAGCGTAGTGTCTCCTAGCTTGCTAACCAACTAGCCCGCGCTGGTTCACCATAACAGAGGGTGAAAAGAACACGTCTGTGCAAAAATATGACAGTAAGAGTAGCTTTCTCGCTTGTTTTGGCACTCTGTTTTTACCTGCCATGATGATGGCGAGGGACTCAAACTGGGCTCTCTGTTGCAGGAGGTTCGGGCCCTGGACTGGAGCGGTCCGTGCTGACCGACCGGACTGGTTCTGTCCGAGGAGGAACGAAGCGGTGTTTGTAAATAACTCCCCACAGCCCTCAAACCTGGCTGCTGCTACGAAGGTGAACTGCTTTTCATCGGAAGAGACTATCACAACCTTCACGACTGCTTTGCAGAGTTTGCACCCTACTTTGAGATTTCCCTCGCATCTGCCTCCTCTGGCGTTGAACTTTCAAAATGGCGCCGCGCGGGCGGCGTTGAGCGGAATCATAGAGAGGTGGTGACGGTACTCGGACATTTGTAACCACATCAGCGAAGAAAAATAATTTTTTAAACAATAGGATTAAATCCAAAAGTATATGTAGTTCAACACAAGTTCATTTCACTGTGAAAAGCAGCGATGACATTCTTAGTTAATAGATGTAACGCGTATAGCCCGCCCTTGCAGAACGTTTCAGTGAATGAAATCGAACTAACCCTTGCACTCAATTTAGAAGTCAGGAAAGTGGCAAATTTTAATTAGAATGTTTTTATTTGGTTAGATGTTTTTCAGATTTAATATTGAATTAAATCATAATTTGTGTGTTTGTGTGTGTGTGTGTGTGGGGGGGGGGTTACATTAACAGTGCTTCATTTGTGAAATTACAACTAAATATTTTGAATCCATAAAACTTGTTAAAAAAAAAACTTTGAAAAAAAGAACATGGGTAATTTTCAACATGCCATCAAAATCCTAAACAAACAAATAAACAAACTGGACATATTTACCAGAAAAATAGCTAATCCAAAATAGACATCTGCTATATACTGGTAGTATTGTTTTGGGTCACTTGTGCACCGTGCTTATATTTCCTATTGTTTACCTTTCTTCAGTTTTAATGACTGCTTTAAGAATTTGACAAGTACGAAAGATAACTGACATAGCAGCGTCTCCATGAACAAAATATAAAAAAAATACTTTAATAAGGCCTCTCTACTCCTTTTATTAATTCTCGATTGTGTTCATGAAAATGTAGGAGGTAATGTGGGATTAAGGTTCAGGATTTCTGACAAGTGCTGTGAGCTACATCAGACTCAGAACCACAGATTCTAATCTGAAGATAATATCTTACATGAACATGTTGGAAATGTCCTAAACCTCACAATTTAATGTTACTTTAACATGGTTCAAAATATCCTGATGCACGCTCAATAATCCAGGTAAAAAAAAAAAATCTAAAAAGTTGAATCTGGTCCTCTGGACATTCAAAGAACAAAACAAAGCAAAAAAAAAAAAAGAAAAACAAAAGTCCAGAGGACCAGATTCAACTTTTTTAGATTACTTTAACATGCTTTCACATGTGAACATGACTGGTTGTCCATATGAAGTTCCAAATGAATAGGTCTCCCTAAGCATGTTTTACATGTGAAGTTCATGTTCACGGATGGAAGGGGCATTAAAGTTCACTCCAATTCATTAAGGTTTTTAATAAAAAATGTTATTTTTAACTATATTTTTGCAATTTTATCAATACATTTATTATTTACTACATGAATAGTTCTGTGTAATTCTTTTGACTTTAATGCAGTGTAACAGAAACTAAGCTCCAGTACTATGAACTTGATTAGTTTTGTGTTGTCCTGAAGATCCACCATGGTCCTGATCATGTGGGCACATCAACTCATAAACCCGTTGAAAAATATGCAGATTATTGGGGCACTGTAAAGTAAAGCCAGTGTCCTAAAACTGCGTTTAGGGTCATAAAAGTTCTGTTTAAACAAAAAAAGTTTTTTTTTTCTTGTAGGATCAAATGTCTATTTAGTGTTTAGTGGTGCGCACAACAGAACCAATCAACGTTCCACTTCGTCAAGATACCAAAAACTATAGGTTACGCAGTGCGGTGATGCTTAACTTCAAATTGAGGTGCCGAGGTCCAATTGGAGGCTCACAGGGGACAGAGCTAGAGTTCTGTAGCTGCTCCGAGATTAGGGAACGATCGCCCTCTTCCCATCAGACGAGCCCCTTCACTGTCCATTTTTAAAACTCTTTAAAACACATTTTTATTCCCTGGCTTTTGTCACAATCTGAAATTTGCTCTGCACTGTTTTTATTGTTTTATTGATCTTACTGTTTTATTCTTTTATATGTTTAAATGTTCTTGATTTTATATGTACATCAGTTTGTTGCAGTTGTTTTAAATAAAGTATTATTATGATAAAATGTTTAACATTTAGGGGTAATTTGTGGCCCTGGGTTTTAGATTTTTTTATCTTGTAAATACATTTTCTACAATTAAAAGTTGAGAATAAAGTTATTTTTGATATTGTTTGCTGATTTGCCTTTTCAGACAAACATTTATAGCTTTTTTTTACTGAAATCATGCAGCACGTCATGTCTGTTATAAAAAAAAAACATGTTTAATTTGATGCTTTTTTGTAACAATCTTAATTACACATTTAGTGTCAGTGTCATCAAACACATGGGAAACAAGCTGGTTGTTTCCATTTTAAATCCCTTTTAACATTCGTTTAAAAAAAGTACTAAAATATGTTTGAAACTACAGCAGAATAAAGACCACACAGAAAAAAAAAGGATGATCCCTCTCAGTTATCAGTCGTTTTAAAGGAACTGCTTAGACCTTTAATCCTCGAAAGTTCTCCTGGATCATCTTCAGCTCAGAGTCAAAGAACAAGCTCATTAGTTCTTTAATTTTACTTCCCCACCATGAAATAAGTGGTCCACCTGGCGAGCAGCAAGGCACCGAACACCACCGTGTAGCTGAACAGAACAAATTTGAGCACTTCCTTGAACGTCCGAAGGAAGCGGATAAACAAGGGGTCCATTTCCACGAGCTCCATGTTCTCACCTCGACCCATCCTGCAAAAATGCACAACCATGAAGATTTCAAAGTAAAACAACAATTATTGCACAAAACTAAAACCACACAGAGCCTCCCTTAATGAGATTGTCTGGATTAGCTGCAAACAATTTCCAATAACCTCTCAGAAGCTGAGGATAAAAGCACTAAACTGTGGTAAATAATTTATGCTTAAATTGCACTAAGTGGGTCCTATTGATCTGCTTTGTGTTTTGGTCACAACTATATGTAGAACATGATGCTTTCAGACAGAAAAGATGCTGAAGTTGTCACATATTGAGCTTACAAGACATTTATATTTCAAGTATTTATTAGCTGTACTTGTGGATGCTGTTAGATTAGGGATTGAACATGCAGGAAAAGTTCAAGATATTATTTATAGAGCAGAGAAAGTGTAAAGACTCGTACCTTGTTGTTGGAGGAGCACAGGATCTGATCAGAGGGTGCACTTCTCTTCTTGTAGACAGGAAGTTCAACTCCGTGTCTGCAGAGTTGAGCATTTCCAAGCCCTCAATGCAGAGGAGGAGCCTGCTCACAAGGATCCAGATCTCCTGGGAGTGATGAGTCTTCAGTGCAACTGCTCAAAGAAACCCAAGTGCAAGATTTTGGCAATTACAAAAAAAAAAAGCTTCTAATCAACATGGAGGAAATAAAAAACTGGAGTCCTCCAACAATACCTCTGAGCAGGACTCGTTTTGTTTAGTGTGAAGCAAGAGGAAGGTATTGACTGATGCAGAGATCAAACACCCTCCTGCAGCACGGTTATCCTCTGCCGGAACATGAAGCAAATGGCGTCCTAATTAAATCAGTGTCCTGCTCTGTCAAATCACGGGCCGAGCTCTCCAGACAGCACAGAGCTATTATCGGCTGATCAGGAGGCCTGTTACTGCGCTAATTGCTCCTTCGGAGAGCTGGATGTCTGCTGACGGATGTGCTGCCTCTCAAGAAACTACCCACTGAACAACAGGGCCGCTCACATGACTGGGTAATACAAGACCAATTTAAGTTGATTCACTTATTTATCCAACCTCAACAAAAGACACACATGACAGGAAAGAATACAAAACGCCTTAAAATGCAAGTGCATCTTTAATCACGTGAATAAACATCCCATAAATACATATATACAGTTTAGTGAAGCGGTAACAGCAGAATAAAGAGATTTTTCCCACACATGGTGTCATCAAAGTTGCCCAGTTCTGGTCAGCTGGAGCGAAGTTCTCAGGAGTGGGTTTGGTGAGGCCAGCTGTCAGCGCGGGTGTCTCAGGGCATCTGGGATTCGGGCCGATCCATGAGGGATTTGATCCAGGTCGTGCCATTGATGAGCTTCGTCGTGGCAACAACGTACTCCATCCCGCTGTCCTCCATCTGAGAGAGGAAACGGAGAGCGGCTATTTCTGCGTACGTCACTCCTCCGAGGAAGAAAACCAGCGTTGTTCGATTTTCCCCCTGCTGCCCTGTAATAAACCGAGGAGACGCATTTAGACAAGAGAAAACAACTGGCTATGAAATTAATGTTTAAAATAAATGTCTTGTCAAGGCCCATCTGCTCAAGTGAATCCATCTGCACCCTCTCCTGAAATGATTTTCTATTATCACCTTTACAAACCGATGTGAGACAGGCTTGTAGCCACTTGTCCACTTTCTTCTGCCCAAACATGCAGCTCTAATGAGCTCATTTGAAACGGTGTTTAATTAATTTATGTCACATCGACCACACAGAGCAGAAGGAAAACGCTGGCCGTCACTCAAATGAAGCGGTGTGTTTTTATATAGCCATTTCTTTAACGCGGGCACACAGAAGGAACAAACACTGACAGTGGTCTGTGAGCTCTCTGTTGTCAATCTGCTGCTTTGTGTCTCCACAGAATAAAAGCCTGCACTTTATCTGCACACGGCAGGCAGCCGCTCGTTCTCCCTCTGCAGTGAGCAGACCAGCAGAGGTCCGGCTGCAGGACTACTGTCCCAGCGTGATAACGGAAGATTCAGCGTCAGTGTCAAAAAGGCAGTTTGTGTTTTGTTTAGGGTGTATCTCCATGGTTACTGTCAAGTTAACAGGTTGTGTTCAAGTTAAGAGGAAAAGACATTAAAACAGGGATATTCAACATAACTGCTCAGGGGGCAGCAGTTTCTGAAAGCCAACAGCTCAGGGGCCGGACGTCCAGCGATTAAAATCATAAACCAAAGCTCACAATGATCCGTTACCTTTTCAATTTGTTTATTTTATTGCATTGAATCAAATGCAATAAACAGTACCCAAACCTAGAACAAATTTTTTTTTTTTTTAAATAAAGTTTGATTGAAGTCACCCACCAGTTGAATAGCCCTGTGTTAAAATGTCTCTAAAACAGTGAATTCTAATACAACAAGAGCAGCTTGCTTCTATACCTGCCCAACACTAAAATCCTTAAGAGGAATATTTTAGCAAAGATTAAAACTTTGCTAACTGATGAACTGTAGAGTTTACAGTAGTCCCTCGATAATTCGCAGTTCGTTTAGCGTGGACTCGGTCTATCGAGGTTTTACAAAATATGATTGACATGACACACAATTGGCTGATTGATGGATGAGTCACACGATCGGCATGGAATTTTTATTTAAAATAAATTATTTTAAATTATTTAGCACCTGTGTGCAGCCCACACTGCAGGAGAAATTTCCTCCTGCAGCTCCTCCTCCTTTGTCGATCTCCATAAACTACTACTTTCCACTTGTACTACTATTCCTACTTGGCGTTTTTTTTAACTTATCGTGGGGCTTCAGGGTACGGATCCGCAGCGATAAACGAGGAACTACTGTACTGAAATTTTAAAGTCAGCCCAGGTAAAGATGGCTGCCACAGCACAACTGACCTTTACAAATGGCTACAGCTCAGTCAGTTTTAGATACTGACCAAAACTTGTGGAAGTAGCTGAGACTGATACCCAACACATATTCTGAGCTTTAACACATTTCGTATAACATTTTGCCATTAAATATTTGTTAGCAAAATATCTCATGAAGCACAGGATGAATGTTACTGAAACTTTCAGGAAATAATCACAGAATATACTTTGACAACTGATAAACTTTTGGAGTCAACCCAATTCAAGATGGCCACCAGAGCAAACTAAACTTTAAAAAACAGACATTTACATAATTTAGTCAATTTGACAGATACTGGGCCAACATTTGGTGTGGTAGTAGCCGAGAATCATTCACAATGTGTGACATTTTGCAATAGTGCATGAAATTTATGACGGTTTGACAATTTTTTTTAAACAAAATGTGATTTTAGTTTAAATCTTTTGCATGAAAAGCTGCAGATGATATGCACTCCTTCAAGGAATGCTAAACCTGTAATTTATACAATAAAACTAGTCGACAGTTTGTTTGTGATCCAACTGATTGGTTATGTAGGACCAGCATCACCGATCACCACACTCACTCCCACATGTCCTGATCTGGAGAACACTGGTTGATCATACGTTTTTTATGAAGCCCAGATGGAAGCGGCTGTCTCTCCTCAAAGTGTGGACCTGGAAGCATCTTTAGCACCTCTTCAATGCTTCGCCACCCGGGCCTCGCTAACACCTGCGTCAGTCGGACGCTGAGAGGAGCATAGCCGCTGTATACGTACGAGATGTCGTTTGGGTTCTGTGAAGATTAAAACAAACGTAGTTGGCACAAGTTTGATTCTTCCTGTTCTTTCCAGATCCCTAACTTTATCACCTGTTCATTGGCATCCTCCATCCACAGTTTAAGGGTTTTTCTAATCGTGGGGTAGTTGTTTCTTGAGCCCGTCTGTGGCTTCATAAAACCCGCCTTCTCTAAGTTGTTCAGTGTCAGCATGTGTTCATAGCCATAGGTCTGCAGAAAAAAATAAACAAAGAAACAATAGGAAAATCATTGATTTTATTTTTACTTTAGCATGAGCCTAGTAGCTACTGTATTTTTCACCGTATAAATCGCACCTTTTTGCATAAATTTGAAAGTCCTGCGACTTATACATATATGACAAATAAAGAAACGTTGACTTTTGACTTATACACCGAAGTGACTAATATACGTTTTTCCCCCCATATTTATAACCCAATTTTTGGCTGAGATCTGACGATTTCATTCATTCTGACATGGAAAATATTGAACACTACCATTTTCAGCCACTAGAGGGCCCTTGAGCAATATGGCAAGCCAAGTGTTTTATTTAATAGGTAAAAGTGGCTATTAATGAGACACTTGGCTTGCCATACAGAGCCACCTTCATCTTGCTCCAGAACTCCTGGAGCAAACATCAAATCAGCTGCATTTCACCGCGTCGCACAGGTGAAATGCAGCTGATTTTACCATTAAAGTGCATTTATTAAAGGAAAAGTTAAACTGAGACACACCTTTACTATAATATCAAGCAAACAAATTGTTTTTTAAGTGTTAATCTTGTTAAATTCTTGTTAAAGTCCTCCTGTGCACGCTCCCGCAGCCGCCATTTGGCAGCCAATCGAGTTTTGGCACAACACCGGCCCGTGTTTCCGAGTGGTCAGCGGTGATGCATAAGAAATGCGACGCGTCAGTGGTGACGCATAATAGATATGACTTATACAGCGAAGCGACTTATTTATGTTTTTTTTCCACGTTATTAGACATTTTTGGATTGATGCAACTTATACAGCGGTGCGACATGCACGGCGGCAAGTACGGTATTTGTTTAACATGCCTCTACCTGGATTATCTCCCTCTTGTAGAAGTCCAGCACCTTCTGTTTAAGGCCATTGTTGCAGACCGACTGCATACACACCAAACGCAGGATCTTGATCAGCGGATCCTTCTGGGCAATGCAGTCTTCTATATACGTGTTCACCTGCAAAAGTCCGGTGATTCTGAGAATTTTAGTGAGCCCAACTCAAATTCTGCAAAGCCACAGTTCATCCATGCAAGTAGTACTTTGATAACATCTATTAAAAAGGTAAAAGTGGAAAAATCCCAATAAAAAAAAAAAAAAGGATGATGAATACCTTGTCTGTGTCGACACCCGTCATAAACTCCTGCTCCACTGTAAGGTTGTCAAAGAAGGCCTCTGATGCTGAAACAGGACAAGTAAGATTTGATCGCATGCTGACAAAGATAGATGACATGTTCAACGTGTAACAGAGATTTACTGGGTCTGTAAACATGACACTAATCAACACTGATTTCAGACTTCTAGCAAAGAAGCAGCAGTTCAATTTGGACGGGGTGTGGCTGTGCACATACTGGTTATGTCCTTAATCAGCTCGGCAATAGAAGTGTGGTTAGCCAGGGAGCTGCGTGCTGCCTGCATGTGAGGCAGCTGAGACACAAATTGCTTTATTTCTCCCACTGTTTTAGCATTGTGGCGTTCCTGAGCAAGAAGAAAGGAGACAAGAAAGGTGCAACTGAAGAGCTGGTTTACATTAATAATGGAAAACGCTACGATAAGGAGTCAGCCGAAAGAAGTTTACTGTTAAATTAGTTGTAAAATGATGCAAGAAAAAGGAAAATGAACTGAATTCTTAACAATTCTTGATAAATGTTATATTATCTGTTAACATGCACATTTCTTTTCTAAGCTTTGCTGTAAAAAGATGAGTTTAGAACAACTCTGTCTGGAAGTGATCAAACGAAGCTCTGAAATCCACCTACTGTTGCTGTATTTTAAAACATGTGACAAACCGAGGGAATATTGTGATTTTATTCCGGAAGGTAAATACACATGGGCTACAACTGAAGCGAGACAAACCTCAAAAGCTGCAGATATAATTTTGGCCTTCTTGCTGAGCGCTGCACCAACAGCGTTGAAGTTTTTGTCTCGGATTTCAGCGTACAGTTCCTCCGCTGAGTTGAGCTGCAGCTTCTTGGGCTCTGTAGGTAAATCCTTGCTGGCCTCACCTTGCTTCTTCTGTGCAAACTTCTCAGGAGGAAGCTTAACATATCCTGTCAGACAGAACAAACACCCAGAAATGTGGGCTTAAAAACTAAATTTTAAGACTTCAAAATGATCCGTTTATTTCACAATGGTGGGGAAACGTACACTCATGCCCCAAACATGAAAATAAAGTGCACTCTGGTTTGAAAAATGGCAAAACCCAGATTAAAATATGAAAATTAGACAATATTAGATACGATAATACAGAAAATGACATGTTCTGACCATTGGTTATTCCATAGATCTCATCAATGAGACCTTCGTAGGTTAGTTGCGTAGCCAGTGGAGTGAGCAGGTCGACGTTACGGTCCAGGAGGAGAAGGGTATCGAACACTGGCAGAATTTGATTCTGAGTGCCAGCAAACTCCCTCTTCATCCGCAACATCATGTTGGCAACATGCTATGGTGCATAAGAGAATGTCCATCTCAGAAAAACATGTTTATCTTCTGTTCATATGCAATTAGTTCTTTTCAAAATTGTTCCAAACACAGTTGATCAAATACTCACTCGTGCACAGTCTCCTTTGCCAAAAATCTGTGGAATGGTACCATAAAGTGCCTGTAAGGTCATGAGTCCCTTGGCTGTGTGGTACAAGCTTGTTTGGTCATTTTCCAAGTAGCACTCCTGAATGAGATAAAATAAAGAATGATTTCATGAGTTCTGATGTGGTTAGGGTTCGCTGCTGAAAAAAAAGCAACAGTGTGGATCTGCATTAGAAGAGCAGCAGGTTCTAAAGTTACAGCTCAATAATGCACACTTCAATAAAGGCGCGTGTTCAACCCACTCGAAAAGCGCTTTCATACTCCATGGAGAGCAGGTCACCGTCATAAGGAATCAGGTCCAGGATGTACTCGTCGATGTTGGTGAATGAGGCCAGCACGCCCTGCTCCTTCAGACGCTGCTCACACAGCATGCTCCGCCGAGGCACAAACAAAATGTGGAAGTCTCGTGACGAATGCAGCTTACTTTCACTAAAGGGCGCGCCATCCAGAACAGAAAGGTTACAAACTCTGAACACAGGTTTTAAAGCGAAGAGAAGGAGATACTTTCTACTGCTCTTAAAGAGTGCCAGGCAGGAATATAAGACGCGTCTAACCACCTGAAAATATTGTCAGCAATGACGTCCATAAGCTCCAGCCTGGGACGAACGAAGAAGATGATGCTTTTGACATCAGCGGAGGGGAGCCTGCCACTCTTAAGAGTAAACATCTTTTCCACTTCATGCTCCTGAAGCACAAGTACAAGATGAAGCAAAGCAACCATTTATTAAAAAAAAAAATACTACATTAGGTGCTGTTAAATGAGACATGACATCATATTTACAGGTTACAGACAAGGCACTTACCTTCAGTAGAGAGTACTGAGCTATGAGACCAAAAGGTCCCGTCAGATACTCATCCCAAACTATGGCCTAAAGAGAAACAACACATCGTGTAATGAGGCATAAACAATCCGCTGTTTGTCAAAGTCTTATGAATATCAACGAGTTACCATTTACATTACAAATAAGCTCACATAAACAGAAGCTTGAGGGTGATTTGGTACTTGTGTCAATAATTTGTTGAGCTGGCTCATATGTGAAAAACTGGATTTCCTGTATCTCATACAGTATTTTAGTCGTCTTTGTTTTATTCATGTTGAATATATTAGTGTATTTTATTTTACCTTGCTCCCTGCGCATTTGTCCAAAAACTCTCGCAGCTCTTTTCGTGCTGCTTCTCTCAAAATGTTTAAATTCACTCTCCCGTACGACAGATGAGCCGCCATTTTTCTTCAGCTGCAACATCAGGTGACTTGAGGAGGAAGTCAAAGTCACGTGACCAAACACGACACAGCGATCTAATGGGATAATTACAACAAAAAAAAAGTACATTTACAGCTTCAGTCCCAGATTCATGCTTGCTGGTCTGTGTTATGACCCACTATTCTAAATGAAATATATAAAAATAATTTTAAGATAAAGATAACTTTTGCTTTAAATTGCTAACGTCACTCGTTTGTCTCTAAGCTAAAACAACTCCACTTTTTACCATGTTGAACTAAAAATAGCTTTACCTCAGCGTTATATTATTTTACAATTAAAAACAATTTAAATCACCTCTACATAAAAACAATGATAGTCAAATTACGTTAATTCTTCAACCGAGTCGTCCCGGGTGTACAAAGAAGGAAGTACGCGGAGTGAACCATCTTGCTCCATTTTGATCTTTTCTGTAGGTGTGGTATAATGTGCACTATAACTGCACAAACCAAGCTTTCTTTTCCCACCAAGTCGAGTTTTTATTAACATTAAAACATATTATTGCATTACCTTTACCGATTTCAACCACAGCATAGCACCGCCAAATATACACAAGAAACAATCATAAAAGTGCACGTTTCATTATTTTTACTGTAATGAACACGATGACCTTTAGGTGGCGCAATGTCTCCACTGTAAAAAAAAAATAATTCGTGGCGCAAAAAAGGCGTTAATGGAACTACGGTCAGTTTGGAAGGGGATTACTATTTGTTAAAGTAAAATTAAAAATAAGCTGAACTCGTGTCAAAGTGAGAATAAAAACATTATTATTGTGTAGAAGCATCTTAAAATGACAAACAAGTGTGGGGTAATTTGTGTAAAAATAAAACAAACAATAAAAAATTGTAAACGACTTAAAAAAAAAAAACCCCAGTTGAATTTAGTTGAATATGAAATTTATTCAAATGATAAATGCAGATATAAAAGCACCCCCCTGCGCCTGGGTGGAGATAAATTTAGACCCATCTAAAGCAAACTGGATCAGGTGGTGACTGCCCACTTCAGCATCGCCGTTATCACTTCGGATCCAGGGGTTTCCTTCCCACGGTACCAAGGGCTTTCCAATCATCCTCCACGCAGAGTAGAAGTCCAGTTCCCACGCATCGTGGTGATCCGCTGAGCCACGCAGCGACACGCAACTCCTCCGAGCCAAAATCTACAGTAATCAAATCCAGCGCGACTTGATGTGGTGGCAGGAACCATGCGCAATGACTGACTGCGCGCTCGGCTCCAGGCTCCGCGCAGAAATCTAGTCCGCATCATTCCCTGAGAGCACCTCGAGAGAGAGGAGGCAGGGCTGGACTCAGGTAGGCTCTGATCTCCTCCTAAGCTTTTCCACACATCTCATCTTCTCCATGTAAATTGCTTTGCGGGTATATTATCCAGTTTGGACACATTGAAGTGTCTCACATCCAAGTTGAACGAATGCAGCTGTTCATTCACAGGGTTTGAGGGACTCATCTGTGAAGACGGAACATGTTTTAAAGATGTGTGTTCATTTGTTGGAACACATGTCTCATGTCTTCCCGAGCTTGTTACAGTTTGATTGGAGCCTAAAGGGTTTGGATCAGAGCGCGTGAATGAAGCTGCTCCTGTCATGCAAATGAACATTTGACTGGACTGCTATTTTTAGGAGGCACACGTCTCACTGGCAGCATTGTGAGAACCTATTTGTATGCTGACGTGTTGTGATCATGCACTAAGTTTATTCATGATAAATCGAACCTCAGGTGCAGCATTTGGACGGGGTGTTCAGAATCTGGCAGCACTCCTGCAACAAACAGCTGCTTCAATTCTTGCAGGTCTCATATTAGGAAGCAGACCTTGCCAGTTCTTTTTGAGATTGTGTTGCAGTTTCAGGGCGTTGCTGCAGGATTCTGTTTTTTTTTTTTTTTTTTGCTCTTCTCTGAAGCAAATGCTGGGCCTTGATGTGCCTGCAGGAAGAGGGAAAAGAGCATCAGTGAAGCCTCTGAATCTCAATGTGGGCAGGGCAGCTGTTGACTCCAGCTGTGCTTCTTGGACAGGTGATTCGCTCGGTCACTGGCCATGATGTTGTGCAGCGTCTCACACCCCACACGGCGCTGCACTCGGAGGTTCAGAGCAGGACAAAGCAGATGAGAAGAAGATACCTCTCAGTTCCATCATCTCCAACCAGCAGAGCTGAAGCAAGAGGGTGGGGGGGATTAAATGGGGGGAGGGGAGAAAAGACTGAATGAACACTAGGAGATCTCTGCAGCTGCATCCTCTCACATGAGCAGCCATAGTATTGTGGTTACACGACACCCGTGTAATGTTACCCCTCACGGTTTTTGCTTTTTATCCCTCCCCCCGGTTGTATGTTTTCTGTGCAGAAGGGAAAAACAAATACACAAAGAGGTTTGTCAGGTCTGGTCCAGCATAAAACAAGTGTAACTAAAAGAATGAGCGCTTTATGGAAGCATGAACAATGATGGAGGAATGATGAACTGCATTATTCAAAGCTGGGGGATGCAAGACGACTGTACCTGTAAATCCCATGTCTTCTTTTTTTCTAAACACACTTGCTGCAGCATTGACCTGTTTTGCATGCAGTGTGAAGCATATACTGTACAGGTAATATAAAAAGGCAGAATTGTGGGTTGGTGTGCAAACACACATGCAGAGCCTTTAATCGCTGTCTTTTGATTTCACCGTTACCATGGCCACATAAAGGTGTGTGACCGTGTGTGCTTCATTGGTCCTCACAAACCACGTTTGAAGCTCCGAGCCCCAAATATGATGTCACACGTTATAATTTTTGCAGGTTTTCATTTCTAAATTTGTCGAAGGGGGATATGTCTTTTCTGCCGTTTGTGGCCGAGCTTCTGAAGGAAGTGGCTTCATCCTCAAATTTTCATCTGGAGTGTCGGCCAGGAATGGATTCTCAAGCTTCTCCTGAAGCCGCTGATTAGATCTGCTTAAGCGATGTTGCATATTGGGAAAGACAGAAGTAATTAATGTGGCCTTTAACCCCCCTTCCCTGGGGGGCAAGCAAATAATTAAATAACCAAACCCAAACTGGTCTATATTAACAGGCAGCTTGTTCCACTTTTATAGTTTTCAACGCCTTGAAAGAGAATTTGGACTTCAAGTCTGATCGCTGAGCTTGAGGTTTTATCTCAAATGTTGCAAAGATGTTTATTTGCAAGACAACTTGTTTCCAACATATGTTACAGGACAGAAAGGGGTCGGCCACCGCGCAGCTGAAAAGTGCCAGCAGAAAACCAACAACGCAGGTCTCATCGAGATGATCCATTATGTTTTTACATGCTATAAACCATGTGACGTATAACTGTGCAGACCATGCAGCTTACTTCAGGTTAGCAGATGCAGACTGATTTAATGCTTCTGTCTGGCACTTGCTCCTCAGCGGTAAGACGGCATCATGGGAAAAAATTAAAGCAGCTTGATTGACCAATGTATCAGCAGCCAGTTGTCAAAGTCCCCCCTCTATGGGGCTTACAGAGATGAATCACCATCAGCAAATATGAAAGTGGCTGCAGACTCCTGCTAGAGTGCAGTTAATTCACTGCTCCTTGCCCTGAAGCTTTTTATAGACATGTGGTTCTAAAGAAAGGCTGGGACAAAAGTAGTCTCTGAAAGGTATGAAGAGGTTGAAATGATGTGAAAACGAAGGGTCTTTTTTTCCATTCTTATATTCCAGTCCCTGTGTGCAGTGTGCTGATTTAAGAATGGGAAATACAGAACAGAGCCTGCCTTTCTTTAACAGCACGGCACCTTGTTGGTCCCTGGATGGGCTTTCCTGTTCGCTCTCCAGCGAGGTAGGACCTGGAGCCGTGCCTGCCCACAGGAAGTGTTTGTGTGTATTTTAACCATCACAGCTCTCTCGCATTTCGGAGGTGAACAGATGGCTCCACAGATGGTCCCCGTCAGCACCATTGTGTGTGCAAACCTGAATGATTTGTCATCCGTACTGTTACTCAAAACAGTGACTCTCAGTCTGTCCGAGTCCCCTCCCCCCCCCCCAAAATCTGCTGTTCACATAAGGCTTGCACTTATGCCTGAAAGAGTTGAGAGTGAAAAACCACGCGGTGGAGAGTTGTTAATAATTAAAAAATGCTGAGCGATGGCTTCTCTCTGCAGCCGCAGGCTTTAGGTGGTGCATTGCTTTACAGCTGTCAAGGCTCAGTCAGTGTGGAGGCAGCTCTCGGTCCTCTTGGAGGACGGGTGCAGCTTTTGGTCCACAACAGGGCGCAGGCTGCTGTCTCTGCTTGTTGCAGCTTCCTGACCTGCCACCTCACGCACTGCGAGTCGCTAAAGTTCAAGCAGTAGACCCCAGAAACCAAAGGATTTAAAAAGGCCACGCTACAGTCACATTGTGTTTCGGTGCACAGTGCCAAGAAATCAATCACATGATGTTTGAGCGCCGATCATTGCTTGGGTTGATAAATTCTAAGAATTTTTTAATGATGTGACTTTCATAAAATGCAGGTTTTAAAATCGCTGTGATGGCCATGAAATCTTAGCACGTTAGCTTAACATCTGTCTAAATAAAGGTTGAATGAATCTCTAATTTAGTTTGAGCAGAAAAATGAATGTTACTCTTGGCTGAATAGATGTTGGCAAGTTTTAATCAATAAGTGAAAATCCTGCCCAGTAACAGTTTCTGATAATTACCACATGCCACCAACAGGCGAAGGCGGATGTTCTCATAAACAGGCAGGTTTACTTGCAGTTCCTAGAGTTTCCAAAAGCAGAATGAGAGGAAGATATTTCAGTTATCAGGCTCCTCTCGTGTGGAACCAACTTCCAGTTTCTGTCCGTGAGGCTGACACATTGTCCAGTTTCAAGACTGGGATTAAGACTTTCCTTTTAGATAAATCCTATAGTTATGCTGCTATAGGCTTAGACTACTGGAGGACAAACTGACCTCACTTCCTTAAATAAATTGTTAAAATTTAATAGTTTTCATTCAATGCCATTTCTATTTTAACATGTGATTCTTGACCTGCCATTGTGTATCTGTTCCTCCTTCCTGTTCCTCTCAAACTCAGCCAGTTGAAGCAGATGGCCTCTTGTCCTGAGTCTGGTTCTGTTAAAGGTTTCTTCCTCATGAGGGAGTTTTTCCTTTCCACTGTCACCTTCATGCTTGCTCAAGATGAGAGTCTGAGATGGAGTTAAACTCAAAGCAGTCTGCTCCTCAGATAAATAAAATTTAATTATTTTATATATGAATGTTTCTGTTCAGTGCCCTGAGGTGACTTCTGTTGTGACTTGGCGCTATATAAATAAACTGAATTGAATAAACCACTGGATGAAAGTTTTATAATCATTGGATGTACCATATTTTTCAGACTATAAGGCACATTAAGTGAAACAAAACAGTCAGATATGACAAGAACCAGGTTTGAATCAGCAAAACACTAAGGCCCAGAGCAATTTAACAGTTTTATTGTGAAAGGGAAATCTCTGGTGGAGGTCTGGGTCCTGGGCCAGGTCCAGTCTGTCCAGACAGAAGAGTTAGTGGCTTTGGTGTGGATCAGGAGGTGCAGGTGGATATTGAGGTTTTCACCAACCTTCTGTCTTGGTGTTGAGGCTGAAGCTTTAGTCTCGCTGAAGCCGGTGACGTCACTCCTATAAAGTGAGCTGCTGCAGTGGAGCAGATTAAAGGACTTGAGGTCCAGAATCGTGGTCCGTGAGTCGTTTGCAGGGGTCGAGTACGTTGAAGCAGAGCGCCGAAAACAGAGCCAAATCGTGATCCGAAGGTGTAGTCAGAGAGGAAGATGCAGAGTCAGAAACCATGGGCAGAAAGACGGACAAATCCAAGAGGGTTCAGGCAAGGCGAGGAGTCAGAAACAGGCAAGAGACAAGATCAGGTACGCTGGATTTCTACTTCTGTGACAGGTTCGAGAATCTGGCACGGACTGAGCGAATGCACGGAGCTCAAGTAGGGCGGAGAACAGGTAGAGGATGAGCTTGATTGATGGATGAGAGTGAGTGACAGGAACAGGCAGAGCTTTGCAGGAAAAACAAACATAAACACGACGGGCTGCGAGGGGCAAAAACATGACAAGATAAATCAAACTTTATTCAACTCATTCACAATAACCACATAAAATCAGTTCGAAGTCTATAAGCACAACCAAATTTCATACATAAGGCACACTGGGTTATAAGGCTCACTGTTGATTTTTGAGAAAATTAAAGGATTTTAAGTGTGCCTTATAGTCTGAAAAATACTGTACATCTATAACTGATTAATTTCAGGAGTCAAGCTTAATCAAAATGGCTGCCACAGCTAATTAGCAAAAAGGCTTTAACTTGGTGC